CAAACACAATGATTACCACTAACAAAAACTTTAAATTTATGAGGAAGTTGACCAACAAATTGGTTGAATCTGACTATATCACGAACACTTGTACGGTGATTAACAGCATCGCCACAGTGAATAAATACGTCACCATTTGGAATATGAACATCTGCAATATCATTATGAGTATCCGACATACAAACAAAACGTAAATGTTTATTTTCTCTTCTAATTAACTGGGCATTTCGATAAACAATAAATGGTTCCTTTTCAGTTCCAAAACCTTGATTTTGAATGGAATTCATAGGAATCATTTCATCTTTATTTTCATTATATGGAATATATGTGAGATGATGAACAACAGCGCTTGGATGACTTTTCACACGAGGTACACTACACCTATTGATAATAAATTTACTTCAATGATAAAAACAAAATATAAATAAAAACTTACCAACAACACCAACTATATGTCGACGGTTTGAACATTTCGAATGAAATATACACTAGTATTGATCCGTTTCTTATATATAGAAATATAGTATATATAAATGAATCAGTAATTTAAAATTTTATGAACTAATCTGACATTGCATTATATGGCCGTAAGCAGAACAAATGTCGCGTGGTAGTAAATAGCCTACTCACGGACGTAGTCAAATTTTTTTTTCTTTTCTTCAAAAATGACTCATAATTTTCGTCAATTTTTTTAATTTTTGTACTGATGTGTGTGTCAAATATTGTGTATGAATGATATTTTAACAGTCAACGCAAATGTTTTACACAATTTCGAATGCCTAGTTTATCAGATGCGTAATTATATCTCAAGGAACTTAAGATTGCGCTGTTCTAATGAATTTCAATTAAAAACATTAATTTAAACTAGAATTTTAAAAACTTTGATTTCATAGAAATTTATTTTATACAAAATATACAGAAGAAATTTAACAATCATATTTAACGACAAGTAATATTAACAGAATAGATAATAAAAATATTTTTCTAATCAACTACTACTTATTTAATTTTCAAGTATTTATAAACAAAATACCGTTGCAATACAATACTTAAATTCACATCTTTTAAAAAATATCATCTAATTAATAATCATCATTAGTTAATAAGTGACATGCAATTTCATATAAGAAGAAAAATGTGCATTATTTGAAACAATTTTAAGTTTGAAAATTTCAAATTTTACCTGTAAGAGACTATTGAGTGTATTCAAAAATAGAAATGATAATTGCCATAACTTTAAAATACAAAAAGAATCAAACATTTAAAAACAAAATTTACTAAAAAAATAGTTCTTAAAATTGTCTGATTGAGATATAATTTATAAGACTCATTTTCTAGTGAAAAAAACTAATTCAATATTATGACCAACCATGAGTTACTGACATATGGATAGAGTTCGAACTCACGAGTAGTGAAAGCTGAGTAAAATAGTGAAAAGAATACGATCGATAGCATGTTAAATGGAAGTATACCTATGTGTGAGAAGACTTAAATGTTTGTTTCAGACACGCAAAATATTTCTTAGAGTGACAGACTCGAAAATTTATCTAATAGATGGCAGTGGAATACGTCTTTAAAAGTTTATGAATCAGTAGAAGAAAAATTCTTCAATTAGATATTATTAATCGATAGAATATGAAGTACTCTTTCAACATATCACTATGAACCATATGTATTTTTAATGAAATTTTGTAAACGAAACTTGCTTATCTTATGGTTTGCTCCATTATATTGAGAATTTTCGCTACAAAAACAAAACCTTCACATAGGAGCTAACAAGCTCAATCAGAAACACAATCTTCTTGAACTTAGTTTTATTAAAATTTCTCATTCATGTTGTAGAAATACTGTGTTGCGATATTTTATTCGTATCTGAAAATCACGATATTATTAAACTATTAAACATTTTATGCTTTTTTTTTTGTAAATATACATGAGTGAATTGCGCTGAGATTGTACGGTTGTTCTGCGAACACAAAAAATCTTATAACTCAACTTCTACTAAATCGATTTAAACAATTTTTTTTTAAAATGCTCCATTCATTTCATCCTACTTACCGTAAAACTATCAGGGATTTTGGTTGTATGGTTAAGGATTTTTCAAAGATGAAAGATCATACTGAAAGCTGTTTAGCAGCATCTATCGACGGAAATTTCTTTTTATATTCTTTAATTCTGACTGGATAGATAGAAATCTTTACGACAATTGGTAGCTGGGGTTCTCCTCTTGCAAAAATATCTAAACATGCGCTTTTACCATTTTTTGTCACGACAGATCAAATTGCAACTATTAAGGACTATTTACAAGCTAACTCAACTGTCTTTTTTTATTTGATAGAGTAAAGAAGAAGAAATATTTTTATAAAAAAAAAAATTTTTTTAATGTTCAAGATCAAACAAACAAGTAAAAATAAAACAAATGGGTAGCTGCTGTGGCACTAAATATCACGACAGATTTTGTTATTTTGATTCCTTGATTTTTCGCTAACTATAAACGATTAGTCTATGTTTCTTTTATCTTTTTTGGCTGACTATATAGTACATATGTGGTAAACATTTGAGCTCTTANTTTTCTCGGATAAATTGAGTTATCATTGCATGATATTATGATTGGTTTGTGTTCCGGATATCCAGACAGCAATGCTAGTAGATCGGAGATATAGTTGATTAATGATTCCTCAGAATGACTGATTCAGTGAAAAACTCTAGGGGGAAACGGCAGACTTGAAGTAGAAAAGTACAACAAAGTACAAAATTAGTTTAAAGTACTTCAAAGTAGGTCAAAGTACCTGTAAAGTAGCTGAAAATACGCGTGAAGTAGCTTGAAGTACTTCAAAGTAGCATAAAGTAACTTGAAGTGCAAAAGTCTGCCGTTTCCCCCTAGGAAAAACTAGTGATACACTTTTAAACATGAATGGATAACACGAGAGGAAATATTGAGAATTCGATAAATCTATCCGATTGCAGCCAAGGATCTAAGAAAGAAAGTGTGGCTGAGATGTATTTAAAATCAACAAGTGACATCTAGTCATTTGGAAATTCGAAGCACAAGATAATGTGTACTTTGGCCTCGTAGCGTCACTTTTCGAAAATATAGGAATCCAAGATATTATTTATATAGAATTACCTATTCCTATATAGGACATATATAGGACATTGATTCAAGCTAAGATTTGAATACTTTCTCTGTAAACTTTACAGAAAATGAATAAATGAATCAACAGAACTGCAAACTGTAGCTCTTTTCCTACATATTATCAAATATAATGATCAAATAACCTATCTTCGGATTGTGGAAAACGAAACAATAATTTTCTCTGAAGAAATACAAAAAAGGATTGTCTTCGATTTATTTTCAATCTTTTTACATACACATATTCATATAATTATTAACAAAACTTATCTGAATAAATATCACAAAAACTTTATCGGTTGATAAAATGTAAACTGGAATATCTTATGAGTTCAAACTTATACAACAAAATTTGTACAACTATAAAAAACAAAAAAGTATCTGGTTTAGTCCGAGGTAATTGATGAATCACTTGTGGCTTTTTAAAAAATATAGGAAATATAGGATGACTACGAAGCTAGCAGGGTGACGCTTCTAATTTTACTTTATTTCAGATAAAAAGAAAAGCTTATTTGTTACTTTATATTTTTGGAATAAAAACAAAATTCTCTGCTTTTTGTATTTCAAAAATCAAACTCATTCTCCGAGTTTTTATTCAAAAAAGCAAAGAAAACTGATACTCCTAATGCATACCATCCCACACTGATACCGATACTTATCCTAACCCGTCTTTAAGAGCTGAAGTTCAATGAGCGTGTTGAAATTTAGACGAGTCCTGTTTGGATATAGTAGAAAAAGGATGGAGTGCATTAGTAGTTGTTAGAAACATTGGGCTCTGCAAACCAGCTCTTAGACTATTTTGTATTGGAAACTGTCATCAATCTTTTCACATAAAATTTAAGTGAATCAACTTACGTACAAGATTAATTTCGTATCATCCGAGGATTACATTCATAAGATGGCCAGACAATAGTGCCATGATCCAATACTTAGTTGATGCATAGACAGACAACTAGATGATTCATGTAGCACTTAATGGGTGACACTGGTCTTGGTGGGCGCTAAAAGCTTCAGCTCTCTAACATTAATTCTTTAGCAATAATACGATGAATATTAGTTTCCAAAGGTGTTCTGCGAGCTTACACTTTTTCAGTATTTCGTTGATATGCAAGCAATAAAAAAAAACAACTTAAGGGGATTCTGATTGATAATGATAGACCACATAGTCCACTACAAAACTCACATATTTGTAACTACAATAGAAAATTTCCTTGTTTACCGCTACCATTGAAAGTAATACAGTCAGTCTTACTGAATTCCTGCTGTTCTAAGGCAGAGAGACTGTGTAGAAAAGTACAAGATATGTTCTTAAGTAATCTTTTTTTCCTAGCAGCATTGCTGACGAGAAAGTTGAATCTCATGTCAAAGTCAAGAAATAGTGTAATTGACTTCCTACTTCGAAATGGATGTAAATATGGGTGTGATTGACAAGGAGAAGAAGATCGTCATCTTCCTTACATCTGCTTCCATCTGTCGATAAAAATAAATGTAATGGTTTCCTATATGCACTGTATCTTTCTTCTTCTTATGCATAAGCTCATATTGCTATCTAGGGGTTGCAAGCGAAGCAGTGACGTCTATCTTTTTCTTTTGTTTCAGTCTTTAGTAAGAAGACACAAAGGTTTACTCGAACAGAATAGTTCTTTTCTGATCTTATTGCGAAAGAATGGTTTCACAATTACCTATTACATGTCATAAGTTTCTTCAAAGATAACATGAAATTTTCATGACACTTGCATTATACAATATAAAAGACAGTTCATAGAATTTGTAAAGAGTATTACAGCTATTATTCGTTACTATTCTTCAGCAAATCGAGGTTTTTTCATTATATTTTGACTTTTCGCTCATCTACAATTATCCTCAAATGGGTAATATAACCATTATTAGTATGTATTGATCCTTTCAAGGAAAATGATAGAAAACAGCTGCAATGCTATCTGAACTACATAAATTATTAACCCTTTGATATCTCATTAATGGAAGAAAGTTGTTGCAGTTTGAGATTAACTTTCAAGAGAACAAATTGTACCAACTGTCGAAACTTCAAACTGTCACAGATTTAGCCACGAGAGTTAATGTACCTTGCATCACATAGATTAGAGAAAAAAATACCCCAAGATTAGATTTCATGACGTGTTTTTCTTGCATCTATAATAATAAACTAAAAAGACAGAAATGTGCGTTAACTACGACTCTTTTCTCGCCTAACTTGGGTCAGATTGTCAGGTGAAAAGATTTCCAACCTGATTCGGCAGATCTTTTATAGTTGTAGCAGTTTCGAAAATAGTTCATAATGTAAAATCTTCACGTTTTTATTCTTTCGTTTCAAGTAGAAATATGAATGATTTTATGATACAGCGACAATCGCAATTTGTCCCAGCAAACGATGAAATAATTAGCCATTTGATCCATAAAGCAACTGGTCAAAATATAAAAGAAAAATAACGAATAATTGAAGGCAATGATAGTGAAGTGTATGATGTAAGACTAGACAATGATACATACGTTATTTTAAAAGTACGTCGCTTTGGTGATGTTCTCTATGATCAAGAAGCATGGGCAATAAATGAATGTCGTAAACATGGTGTACCTGTACCACAAGTATTATTTGTAAGAAAAGAATTGATTGACAATGAAATGCGAGACATTATGATCTTAGAAAAATTGAAAGGAAAATCATTTAGAAAAGTGATTGACGAACAAAATATAAGTGAAAATGATGTTGTACGAGTTTTAGAACAAGCTGGTATCATATTAAAAAAAATACATTCAGTCAAAGTTAATGGTTATTGGCGTTTGAATCATAATAATCAATGGGATTTCGATTCTTGGGCTGACTATATCAAGTCAATAATCAAGGACAGAATTGAAGATAAAAAATATCTGTTTGATGTTGGCTTTACTGAAGAAGATGTCAATTTCATCATGAAATGTCATGATCTATTTATGAATAATTATGAATGTCACCAACCAGTTCTATGTCATGGTGATTTCACACATGAACATTGGTATGTAGATGAAAGTCTGAATATAACAGGCATTATTGACTTTGGTGATATGCAAGGTGGACCTGTGACGACAGATTTTGCCATTTTTAAAACGTATGAACTAGAATCAGATATTAGTTCATTAATAAGAGGTTATAATGGTATCAATAATTTTTCAATTGACGAAGATTTCAATCAACGACTAGATCTTCATACAATAATTATATTAGTTGGCTGTTTGACATACTTCAAAAAAGAAAATAATACAAAAGAGATTGAGCAAACTGTTGACTCGCTTAAGAAAACAATCGATGATTTAAAAAAACAATATCTGTAGAGATTTTTCAAATAACTCCAACTGTTTTTTTTTCAGTTAAAACTTATCACTACAAAAGATATTTCCTGTGAACATCTGGATACAAAGAGAAGGAAGTACCAAGAATACCCTTTGTTTTCGATTATCTTGCAGTATGGAGACTGCCTAGCGACAGATTCCATATAGCTTTTTATTTTCTCCATAACTAGTACTAATTGTTGCTCTGGACAGAATGCCTGTTCAATGCACAGCTTTTGTGCTCAATGGCTTAAACTGTTCATACATATTGACTAACCGCATACTGTTGCACATGAGAGTGTGGGTATGAATATTCTATTTTCTCTTAGACGCATTCACACATCCACAGTAATAGCCACACCCACGTCAATCCTCGCGGTGTGAGATGTAATTGTTGGTATGGAAGTGTTAACTATATACCAAAAGCCCAGGTAACTATACTCACACTTACAGTCTTGTCAGACTATACTGACAACAAAATCTTTATAACTATTTGCTTGTTTTATTAGAGAAAAAGATTTTGCCAACAAACATGTAAGTTTTACTTCTTACAGATCGAATGAACTGAAACAATTTTAATACAATATTTGTTAAATGATAGATGATGGGTAAACAGTGCATAGATTTCAAAACTTCCAAAGCTATACAATATGTTCCGAGTGTGCAAATGTTTTTTTCCCTCAATTCTAACTTCATAGACTATAACAATCGATAATAATCTAAATTATTTAAACATACATAAATGCTTCTAATCATATTTTTCTTTTTGCAAGCTCATATAATTATCATTAATAAACATGCGTTACCAAATGATTAGAAAAAAAAGAAAAACCAATACATTCGATATTTTTCATGCAAAAAGAAATATTTAAAAATACGAACATTTTTTTCTTTTCTCTTGAGATATAAAAGGTTTTTTATATTTGTTAATAATAAGATTAAAATTCTTCATGTTTTTTTTCTTTGTCTAAATTATTATACATCACATGACATACTTTTACATGCAATATGTAATCGACAAAACACAGCATTGCGCATTGATGTTTATTGTCTCAATGGATTGCACATGCATTCAATCAGTTTAACTATGTAGTATTTTCTCATTTTTTCTTGTTTTTTTTTCCATTTTCCCCTAAGGAAACCTATCATTTTTACTTGCTCGAAAATCACACAACAAGTTTTTGTACTTCTATCATACAAAATATTAATGAAAGTTTATTTCCATTGTTTTACCTAATATTTATTCTAAATATAATATTATTTATTACTCCATGGTAGCGATATTAACAATACAAATTTTATCACTTATAGCCACATCATTAACTAATCTTATTGGTATTTTAACATTTGCAACTGATTATTGGTCAATAATTGTTTATGATTTAGTTAAATTACGTTCTTATGCAAAATGGATTATTATTGAAGAGACAACTAATGGTAATATTCATATAATTAATAATACTAATGATACAGAAATATTATCAAATTTGAATAATAAATTATCAGCAGCTGTTATAGGAATTGAAAAAAATTTATTATTATTTTCAACACATCAAGGTATATTTCGTCAATGTAATTATTTATCAGCTAATATACGATCTCATTTAAAAATACCAAAATGTCAAGCAATAAAAGTAGCTAATAGTCCACATGATGATTATACTCATGGAATGATTAATCCTGGGCCAGATTCTATGCGTAAATATTCATTGATTTGTTTTTTCCTCATTTTTACTCAAATGAATCGAAACATTCTCGATAATATTTTTTCATCAAAATATTGAGTTATTGACAATCATGAAATTAAAAAAAGACCAAGAAATTCTCATATTCCTGTAAATCATGTGAAATGACACATACTGACAATAGTTTTCATTATTAGAATAAGTCATCTGATCTTATGATTTTCGTTCTTCTAAAAGATTCAACATTAAATATATGAAAAACCAATGTTCTTTATGTGTACGTTTATGAAAAAAAGTAAAGTAAGAGATTTCAATGCATAGAATGAAGAAAAAAACACATAAAATCATTTTTTTTTCAAAACTTTCAATGTTAATGTTCTACCCAAAAAGAATAATTTTCCAAGTTTGAATTTATCGTAGCATAAGATATTATTTCATTATTGTTAGAACTTTATTGGACTATTTCTATATTCTCGTAAAATATATAAACAAAACAGAACTTGACATTTCTCTTATTTGACTTTTGATGTATGGCATTCATTTACTGTTAATAACGATAAAGACCCAGCAATTCTCGAGTGTGAAATATTTTTGATAGAACAGAATAAAAATAGAATATTCCAACGATCGTGTTACAAAAAATTATTTCCTAACGAATTTGAGTCCTCTATAATTTCATGCTCTCGCAATGAAAACATTGAACATACAAATTTTATGTACTCTATTGTTACTTCAAATAAAATAACTACTTTGTATAAGATCAGTTCATATAATGGATAATTTTATTTAGAGAAAAACTAAGAAAAAGTCACGTACTTTCTTATTGATTACTATAAATATTAAATATTGTAATAGTTCTCTCTATTAAATTTTCTTGTTAGTTTATCTTTCGTGTTCAAATATTTTTAGGTCTTCATAATGTAGCAGCAGCTTGTGCTATATTAATTGTTCTTCTTCTTTGTACTGGTACATTTATTGGAATAATCATCGGTATTCTCAATAATGTTGTTTTAGCTACAATGACTGTCGGTGTAATTTATCTTATTTCATGTAAGTAATTATTTTATGATGCATATTTTATTACATATAAAATTTTTTCTTCACCTTTTCTTTTAGCAATGTTTTGTACATTTGTTATAGTTATAATGTATACAATATTGAATAGTGAACGTAAACAATCGTATTGTTCAGTAGTAGAAGTCTTAACTGATGAATTATGTTCATCACAATCTATTCGATTATCATACTCGTTTATATTAGGTTCTTTATTTGTAATTCTTAGCTTTATCACATCTGTATTATGGTTATTCTTACAAGAAAAACAACGAAAATTTGCACAACATTAATGTTTAAAACAACAAATAAAAATAAATTTATAATTTCCTTCGAATGATGCTATTTTCAACAATATACGATTGACTATATTGACATTATTTTTTTTTGTTTTATAAAAGTCGAGTTCGTTTTACTCCAGAAAAACGACCCGTTCGCCGATTTCGATTCTTATAATCATAATCAACGTCAACTAATGTAATACATCGACTGAGAATAAATGCAATAACAAATGAAAACAAAGTTAAGCACGTAAAAAAAATATACCATGAACGTTCATCAAATAAATCATTAAAAGAAGGTAGAAGTTGAGAAAAATGATTGATTATTTCACGTTGAGTATTCAAACGACGTTGAGCACTTTTTAATAATGGCATTTCGATGGATTATAATCTAAAATGTTGATGATGAAAAAGAATGTTGCATATATTTCTCCTCATTTCTCTAAATGCGTAGTTGGTTCAATTATTATTGTTGATGAATGCAGAAAAAAAGAAGAAGAAAGAAAAAAAATGCATGTGGTTGTTATTGCTCGAGAACGACTATGTCTAGGCGTTTTTGTCTTCTCATTTTTTTTTCCTCCGTTCTTGATGTAAATACATTGTAAATAGTATGCTGAACGTTTCTTTTCCTCTGGTTTTTTCTTTCTGTTCTTTATTTTACACACAACTCCCTCTTTCGTTCGGTCTCTCATGATCTCTTGTTAATGTACTGTATAGATAATCTTTTTCGTTCACTAGACACTTGTTGCTTCCTGTCATGTTTGTTACATTGAATTTGTAAGTTTGATTATTTATGCGTATGTATATGACAAAAAAGAAGAAAACAAAGATTTTTGTCTTTATGTACTCGGTAGTAAATCATGAAGTTTTGCTTTTGAAATGTTTTATTGTCTATATTATCATGTGTTCATTTTGTTTCGATGATAAACGTCAAATTGATATGAAAAAATAAAAATAAAACTTGTCTATTGTAGATATTTCGTTGTATATGCTTTTTTTTTTCTTAAGAACAGATGTCTAGGACATATAGAATTGTTCTATGTGTTAACCATGAAAATATTCATCTTCTTTTTATTCAAGTTTTTTGTCTTCGGTAATGAATCTGATTACATAAAAAGTAGCATCTATGACTATGTGTATCGATCGGTCTCTTATGGCCTGTATTATTCTGGTTGTAGTTCAAAAGAATAAATGTCGCCAAATTATATGCGCACTATTCTCTTTCATTCATGGGATTGTCTCTTATGGTATATTTCTAGTCTGTGAAGACTTTTCCTTTTGTTAGATATAGTCAAATTTAATAATTGTTGTTGTCAATTATCGAAGGGCTTTCTCTCATCTCTGGTTTGAATAGTTCAAAATCTAGGTATATTCACTGATCTGTATGTAACTGTTGTTTTTGTAATGTATGGAGGACGAGTAAGCTTAGTTTGATAAACATTAAGTGTGTTTGATTGAAGGCCATCCTCCCGCTCAAAATAGGATTTATAACCTATTACATGATATGGAGCTGAAACTTTATGTGTATATTGAGACTGCCAAGCTATTTACAGAAAAAATAAATACAGCTTCATAACTTATTGTCTATCGAAGCTCTGGCAATTTTAGTAGGCATTTTGGGACTTCTGGCATCTCCAGTGCCATTCGACTACTTTAAGAGACCGAGTCAATCATTTTTTCATTTGAAAGAAAATACTCGGTGCTGGTGACTCTTATGGGTATTTATATATTTTCTTCTTTTTTTTGACTTTTTGAGACACGCACGACTCAATGAAACTGCGGAATTCTAGAAAAAATGCCATAACTCAACGGGTCAGCTTCAAAATAACATTGACTGTATTTCTAGAAGTAGTCTAATAACGTTGAAGATTCTTCAATATTTCCGACATGGGCAGTAACATTGTCATTGTTCTGATAGAACACAAGAAATGAAACTAACATTTTTTTTCCAAATATGATGGTGAGATACCACAATATATCGACAGATTTTCAGCTCAATATCTTGGAACTGATCAAAGATTCTATTATAAGCAAACAATAGATCGAAATTAATTGTAGCTTCGACTCCGTGGAGAAAAAGATCTTAACTCTATAAAAATAAACTTCTCTATAGAACAACATATTTTACAGTTAACATAGTTTATACTAAGATTATATGATAATTATAGTAAATGTATATGTATATACCCTTGAAGAATAGTTATTGAGCATTAAAAAATAGGTTAAATAGCTTATCTCTTGAAATCTGATATACATATGCATTGCCAGTCAATTATGTTGAATGATGCAAAAAGAAAACCTTGAAAGGTATGCATCAAAAAGTAAAAGAATTTACTCTATGTATTTGCTCAATAGATTTTGTCTTTTACTTTTATGTACATGCATACATCGTTCAACTCACTCTTACTATGTCAACGATTTTTTTTTGTTCTTTTCATTCATCTTCTATGCAATTTCATGTCAATGTGTTTCTTTTGTCGACATATAATTTCAGCTGTGTAAGTATATATACCTAGCTGGAGAGTTAGACATGAGAACAAGGGAGTGAAAATATAGGCAAGTTTGATTAACATGGAAAAATAATATAGAATGATTTCTCTTCCGTTAGGTTTACTATGCATGCACGCTTTTATTTGTCTTTTTATACTTGAGTAGAAATTCGATTGTTTTTTTTCTTCTTTTGAGATGATGAATAGATTGATTAATGATACTATTCTTTTTGTATGCAATGATGTGCAACACTTGGTTTTAATCGTCTTCTATAACTAGAAGACAAAGATCAATGATTTTATTAACGAAAAGAGTTACTAAGTGTCGACCTTGTTCTTTTTTCTTCTAATGCAGAGAAAATGTCGTTTTAAGATCTTTTTTTAATATGTAGTTATCTTCAAGAATTTTTCTTGTATATAAAGTGTGTAATGAATACTACTTGAAAGAGATTCATTTACGTAATTCATCTATAAAAAATAAAGTATGAATTACTTTTTTCAACATTTGAATGAGTTGTTACTGATAAAAAAAAAGAAAAGATTCAATAGAAATTTGATTAAATTTTTAACTTTTTCTCATTCTTCAAAACGAGATAGAGAGCAAAAATCTAATCACATTTACATAAAGTTGAGATTTTATCTTTTAGATGTAAATTAAAATGAATAATACATCACAATTTGATGTCGGTAAAGCTGCACTTCAACATCTTGAATTACTTAATTGTTCAAATCAAAATCCACTTGAAATTGCAGCACAATTTCGAACACTTCTACGTTCAAAAAAATCCAATAAAAATATAAATTCATCCAATATTGATTACACATATACAGATTATATTGCAGCTGATGCAACAATTCGAAGACGAAGACGTTCACAAAGTCTAGTTGATTATCATCGATCAAAATCATTAGGTAAAATTCAATATGATCTTAATGAAGATCAATCATTACTAGAATCAAATTCTTCATCTGGTCTTATGAAATATCAAAATGTTGATAATATCAGAGAAGATATCTTTTCTGATTCAGCTATGGGTTCTGATTCTAGTGATATAACAAATCATAAAATTGATTTAAATATATTATCTAATTCAAATGATTTAAATAATGAAATAAATTGTCATAAAATATCTAAAGAAAATAATAATTCAAATCGATTTCAATATCCAATTATTAATTGGAAACAATTACGTGAAAAACAATATGAAAATAAATTAGATAAAGTTAAAAAATTTCTTTCAACTAAATTTAAAACAATTCGTCTATCAAGAATTGAAACAAAAGATTTAAATATAAATTTATTAACAAATGATTTAGATAAAACAGATTCATGTCCATATTCAAATATATCAGAATTAGAAAAAAATTCAGAAGAAATTATTTCAACGGAAAATATTTCATCTTCTTCATCTCCTCGAACTCGATCATTATCATCAAATTCAATTCGTACACCATCGATATCACCATCAAATTCTCCTCGATCAACTTATACAGTTTCACGATTAAATTCAACATTAATAAATCATAATCATAATGATATATTTTTTCCAATAGCAGATTGTAATCTTATTATTAAACATCAACCTATTGAACAAAGCAAACGAGTTTCTCATGTTAAAAATTTACGTACTGAAAATGAACTTTTTCTGTGGTAATACAAAAAAAGACAAATAACATGAAAAATTTTTGTATCAGAGTTCTTTGTTTTTTAATTTTTTTTCTTCATTTATTCAAATATTTGATTTTTCTTTTCCTTGTGATGATTAAAAATGAAATAAAAGTATCGGATGTCCTAGGAAGGATGGACCTCTCAATATTTCAATTATATATCTTCTAATATTCATTTGTTCAGATTTCAGTTTCTTTTCAAAAACTTTCTCTTGTAATTCTCTACAAAATGATATGTTTTCTATAAACCTAGATAACAGTATTCATGTTTCAAGTACAGCTCGATGAGCTCTGTTAGATACTGAAAATGGTTTATCGATATCTAATATAATAATCGAGCAAAACAAAAATAGAATTCTGTATGATATACGGCATATAGTAACCATGACGGACGGTAGGTGTAAAAAGGATTTCTTCACAAAAGAACATGCTATCGAGATACGATTTTCACCATCCGATAGAGCTCAGCGAGTTGTACTTGTAACATTAGAAAGCCGTATTGGAATATATTCCTAGACGAGTCGGTCCTAACATAATCAAAAGTGAAATCGATAAGCGGGCAAAAAAAATCGTTGATATTCACCAATATTTTATTATAACAGTAAGCTAACGTAATTGAACTGAGTCGGAACAAAATTGATTACTGCCGAATCACTGAAATAAGTACTAATTAGCTGGCTGACATAGTTAACCGGTAACAGTTGAACAGTTTGAAACTAGAACTGGTGCGTCTGTTGTGGAAAGACGACCTAAAACTATACTATAAAAAAACTTCAGAAGGATCAACTCTTGCACTTTAGAAGTTTTTCCATAGATTCTTGAAGAATGTGTACCGACGTCGTATACTGTTCAAGATTTATGAGTCGAAGGATTTATCATAGTAAAGGTATATGAAAATGAAAAGGATATATGGTATATATTTAAGAACTTATTATTCAACATTTCCAGCACAGCGATTTGTTCTTTACATTAGGATAGATCACTCTACGATTAGGGTTGGCGCTTTATCTTTCCTTTCGAAAAGGAAAGTTACAAATTAAGATTCTAAGAAGAATATGATTGGTATTTTCAGATTATTTGTTTCTTGTTTCTTGATTCATCTTCCTCTCTTCACATTTCTCGTCCTTCCGGCTATCTTTAATTTTTTTTTATTCTATTCACTTGATCTGACATATTCTCCTCAATTTCTTGAGTTTCTCTATGTCTACCTCATGACCTTTAGTCGATTCTAACTCATATGTACATTACCGATAAGATTGGATGCGTCTTACTATTACTAGCAAATATTTTTAAAGCTGCTATTTTATTTTTATTCATAATTTCAAAGTGAAACAAAATAAGGTAAACAACTTAAATCTTATAGAAGAAAACATAGTAGACGAGATAGCATTGATTTTTAGTTTCAAATCTTTTGATTTTTACTAGTCGACGTTGTTTTTTTTTCAACCACATAGATAAAGGAAATGCTGATAGAGATAAACTGCCTAGTTATATGTAATGAATATTAACATTTGAATACTTTTTCACAGATCGTACCTTGAGTAGAAGAGCAGACATTTTTTATTTTTAGTGTGAAATTACTGTCCTATTCAAAATAGTATGTGTGCCAGGAGAAGTTGAACAGCTTCGAAGTACAAAAAGCTAAGGTCCACACCCACATTCTCTTGTTTAAATCCTTGAAAAATTTATTCATTATTTCGAAGTTGAATGAAATTAATACGAAACAGTTGATACAAAACGAAAAGATTTATCTTCCTAATGCATTTCTTTCGTTAAGAGACATTAAAAACTTATTCAAGAACTGAACTGAAATGATGCTTGATATTTTTTTTTCTTGTTTAAGAAAGAATGAGAAAAAGTTTCGACTTAATTGTAGTACGATGGAGTAGCGCACAAAGATTGAAAAAAAAACTAGTTAAATAAAAAGAGAAACAGATATGAACCACCAACAGTAGGAAGGTAACCTGAGGTGATGAAAGAAGAATGAGAAAAAACAGGAAGCGATTTTGTTCCATTTGTAGTCAATAATACAGATACTCTTAATTTCTAACAATATGAAAGATTTCAACTGTCATTTCCTTTCTTTTTGAAAAGGAAAGTTAAAAAAAACCAATAAATTTCATTTCCTAAAAACAGAAAAACAAAACTTTTCTTTTCTTTTCTTTCTGAAAATAAAAAGAAAGTGAAAGTGCCATCCCTATGTGTGGCTTTAACCAAAGGGCTTACTTTTCTTCCCACAAGAACACATAATTTCACATTTTTATTGGCAGCATTTATTATTCTATGCATAGAGGTAAATTATTTTATGCTTATTTTTTAAAGATGTAGTCATCCTGATAGTTGTCCAACATCCTATGAATGGAATAGAACAAGATAATTTAAGTTAATTTTCTTTTATTTATTTCGTTATTGCGATAGTTCTCCAGCATGTCATCACAGCAACAGAATAGAATAATTCAGTTTAATATTTTCTTTCTTCGCTTAAGTATTTCCCACAGTTTTTAATAATACTATGCGAGAAATCCAATAAGCTATTATAGTAAACTTTTCTTTTTCTTCATATAGTTAGCCTCATAGTTGTCGCCTAGTTCATGCAACAAATCAAATAAGTTAGTTTAGTTTTCCATTCGTCCAATCATTATGTTGATAGTTTTCCGATATCTTTCAAGAGAAAATGAGATAGTTCGTTTTGTTTACTTTTCTTTTTCTTCATTAATTATACTTACATTTGTTCTACATTTAATAAGAGAAATGGAATCAGAAGAGTAGGGTTGAACAAATCGGAAGAAGAGAAAATGACAGCAAACATGTCATTACTAGACAACAAATCATTCTTGTTTTTGTCTTTCACTGTGTTTTTTAAAATTGTTTGTATTCTTTCGAAGAAAAACAAAATTTCCACAACAGTTGGTAATCCATTAGTAGTTCACGTAAGCAAAGTAAGTCTTGTACTTTCACTATCGTCTCATCGATACTCTCTTAAAGCTTAACAAATGACTTTCTGATAGTCGATTTATTTCTAACAACATGGGATGTGGTGCATCTGTTCCAACCAATCAGATTCACTCGACTCCACCTAATTCATCACTCAGAACTGATCCACTACTCGCACCTACTCCATCAAGCTCTGAGGGGCCGCAACCACAATTAGACAATGGAGAAAATTTGATGCTTCTTTTGTTAAACAGTTAAATTGGCAAGAACACGAATATTAAACAGTCTAAAAGTCAATAACAACGAATCGTCAGTTCAGTTAAAAACATTTGCAGATCCGGAAGAATGTCGAACTTGTATGGCTCGTACTAAATACGCAAAGATATTTTTGTTGATTATTTTCAGAATACTTGACGAACCATTTGTACCAACAATACATAAAACCCAAAAAAAATTGCATTCAATTTATATTTTCTGTTCGAATAAAACAAAACACAAAACTGGAAATAGGGCGTGGGGTGGGTATGCATGCAACATTGAATCGTCACTTCTCCATCACCGCTTTATCGGTCCAAAGCGGTAACTGTTTCTTAGTGGTAACTGCTATACAGGTAATCGGCTCGTACCGAAACCCGATCTATACCGACTTATACTGCCGATATAAGGCCTTTACTGCCGTGTATCGGTTTATACTGGTTGTCGTCACTGTTGCATGCCTAGGTGTAGGTGTGGAATATTAGTGTGTTGTGTGGGTGTAGGTGAAGTGTGCATGTGGGTGTGAATCTTATCTTCTTCACTCATATCCAAACGACATACCCACATACGCCCCAACATTCACATGTACACTCACCCCAACTCACCTCAAACCCACCCTCATTTCTATACGAAATAAATCCTCTAGATAAACAATTAACATATCTGATGAAGTGTTTTTCGATTACAGCATCATCTACGTTCGAATAACATGATATTTAAAAACAAATAACGTTTGAGGATGAGGGACCATATCTGAAAGACCTTTTCTACGAGGACATTTTAGATATAAATCAGTCTTTAACTAGTTGACACGGAAGATTCTTAGCGATTGTGGTGAGAGATTTCCGTCATTGATCGGTGTAAAAATCACCACAATATCTAATCACGATAAGCTAAGTTATTTCTACCGTCTCTGTGTAAAACAAATGGACTTATTCAATTACCCCACAGTACTCTAGATGAAATTTGCAGCTGGTATAGGCGGAAAGACGATCCTTACCCATATTTACCGTCACAAAATCAACTCTATTGGTAACTATATGAACAGTTTCCGACAGTTGAAGACACTAAGACTATTTTGGGCGGAAAGTTTTTTTTTCGATCATTGAAAAATCTACATTCGACTTCCAGTGCAGAACAGTGCTTTCTCATCGAAAAAATGAGTATGGTTTTCACGAGTGTAGATGCCATTACCTGTGTTGGAGTAGCTGTGCAAATACACACAATTGATGTTGAATAAATTAAAAGAAGAAAGAATGACTGCAGGCGAATCACTAGTAGAGAACAACTCATTCTTGTTTTCGCCTTTCACTAGACTTTTTAAAGTTGTTTGTTTTCATTTCGAGAAAAAAAGTAATTTGCAAAAACTGTTGGTAGTCCATTAGTAGTTCACATAAGCAAAGTAAGTCTTGTATTTTCCCAATCCTTTTGTCAAAATACTATCTTAAAACTTGATAGGAGACTTTCTGATAGTCGATTTATTTCTGACAATATGGGATGTGGGGCATCTGTTCACATCAATGAGATCCATTCAACTACACCTGATTTATCACTCAAAAATAATCAAACACTCGAACCTGTTCTATCGAAACCTGAAAGACCTCAGTCACAAGTAGACAATGCAGAAAACTTTATTGTTGTTTGGTTAGACAATTCCATTAGTAAGAATACGGATACTCAAAAGTCGAAAAGCCAATTGCAACAAATTGTCAATTCAATTAAAACATTTACAGATTCAGAAGAATGCCGAGCGTTTATGGCTCGTATTAAAGACGAAAAGATTTTTCTAATTGTTTCAGGAGCACTCGGCGAACAATTTGTACCAACGATACATGAATCCAAACAATTGGATTCTATCTATATTTTCTGTTCTGATAAGACAAAACACGAAACTTGGACTAGTTAATATCCCGAAATTTGTGATCTCTATACATCGATAACGCCACTTTGTCAACAGTTAGCAAAAGATACGAAAAAGAGCGATCGTGATCTTGTTGGATTTGAAGTAGTAGAACGAACATTTTCAAAAACAATTACTAAGACCAATCAACAACAAGCTTTCTTCAGGTACGATCAATTATTTTAACTTTAAAAGATGACAACATGCAAGACATATATGAATTTTGTGAAATACAATATAAAGATAATCCTGGAGAACAAAAATTCCTCAACATATTCAAAGAAACATATTCACTTCACTCTCCTGCTTGGTGATATAGTCAAGAATCATTTCTTTATCGAATGTTAAACAAAGCTCTTCGTACTCATCAATACGATACACTTTATGTTTTACGTGTCTTCATACGTCATCTTCATAAATAAATTGTTGAACAGCAAAAGAAAACGACAAATATCAATCAAATGCAATATTTTCGTGGACAAGGAATAGATAAAGAAGATTTCGATCGAATTCATATGAACGAAGGAGGACTTTTGTCTATTTCGAATTTTCTTTCATCTAGTTTGAAACGTGAAGTAGGACTTCGATTTGCTCGTGATTCTCTTCATGATCGAAAGAAAGTCAATGTACTAATGGAAATAACTGTGGACAATAATACGGAAGTTCCTTTGGCGAATATTACTGAACTTGCTGCCTTTAAAGACGAACAAGAACGGCTCTTTTCTATGGGATTCGTATTTCGTATTGGTTCATTCGAATGTTTGTCGGATGGTATATGGGTTATACACGTTTGGCATTAACAGTCGATAGCGATGAATAACTAAGTGCGTTGAGAAAATATTTTAAAAAAATCAATGGAGGATAAGAATCCTTGCGTGGATTTTGCTAAATTAATGCATCAATTGGCAGCATGGAAAAGAGCTGAATATTTCTATTTAATAACTCTTGAAGCTGAGACAATATGGCAACGTCGTTCAGTCTTACTGTATGAACACGGATTGATTAAGGGAGAATTGGAACAGTATGATGAGGTTTTAGCTTACTTTAAACAATCGCTCGAAGTGAAAGAAACACAAGGTGCTCAGGGTATAACAGAATTCGCCTCAACCTATAATAATATGGCCACTCTTTATTATAAACAAAAGAAAATGGATCTAGCTATCGAATATTTTCAGAAAGCAATTGAAGCGTATAATGTTAAACCTAATAGTAATCAGGAATTAGTAGCCACGTTGTACGGTAATATTGCTTCTGTTCTCAATGGTCAAGGCAAACATGAAGAAACTCTGAAAAGTAATGAAAAATGTCTCAATATTCGTATTAATGTTTTTCCAGAGATTTATCCCTCTTTGGCGAGTACGTATAGCAACATTTCGAATACATTTCATTCGATGAGATGTCATGCACAAGCTCTTGAATATGCTTAAAAGGCAGTCAATATCGATCAACAAGCTCTACCACCTGGTCATCCTCAAATTTCAATCCATATGCGCAACCTTGAAATTCTGAAACAGGAACAGTCGGTCTAGGAACACAATATCGATGCTAATACTATACCTATGTAACAAATCAATCATATTTTTGTTCATTTATAGCTATTGTGTATTTTACTTTGACTTTTGTATATCTACCGATGGATATGAATAAAAGTGTAGTTTCGAGTTTGTTCCTTTCAAGACGTGAATATCAAAATATTTTTTATTTTTATTTTTTCGTTGCTTATACAATTTCGAAATATCCACTGTCTAATAACATAAATGAGAAGTCTCCATTGCAAGAAATTTCTTTCATCTCCTTCCTTCTTAATTAATAAAAGCTCAAATATATACAGAATCGTAATTTCGATTCAGAAACAAAATTCTCCATCAATCATGACGAAAGCCTCACAAACCACACATCAATAACATCTGATTATAATATAAGAATTACTTCATTGTTGTATTTCTAGAAGATTAAACAAAACGATGGTTAAGAAACATGTTCCAACATCGATAGAATAATACAATATCTTTTTGATTAGCAATAGTAGTCACATTGTGTTTCATATTGTAATTCTGCATGAATTGTACTAATTTCAATTGTTGAATCATTTATTCTGCTATGTTAAAGATCTGTCATAGAAAATCATTGAATCCTTTCTTTTGAGTTACTTTGATTTTCTTTTATTAACGAGTTGAAAATAACTGTAATCAAGACCAAACCGAAACTTTAAAATTCGGTGCATATGTAATAAAAGTCAAATTATCTTATTAGCGATTCCTACAGTTTATTCAATTTTCCTGGCATGGAAGCATATCCCCATTTATGTTGCACTGCAAATCGATAATACAAAGACAAGAATATAAAAAAGTTCCAGTTATTCATATCAAAAGAAAAACAATGCATACATTAAAAATAAACCCATTGAGAAATAATGGAAAAAAGCATGAAAAAAGACAGAAATAACATAGTTGCATCGTTAATTAGGTGAAAATTAGATGATATTATGTGACAAGAAAGGGAATAGTATGATTAATAGAGACCAGCATAACCAAATTTTTTTTTGGTCATGATGATCCGAGCTCGTGATTGTGAGTCATGAAAATTCTTTCTAGTGTTATTACGACTTATTTTCGCAAACTATGCATATTCATGACGACCGTCAGATATATCGATTCTATAGTTACAAGCGACGAGAATACGTAGCAGCAAAACAAAAGAAAGCAAATATTTGTAGTATTAAATTTAAAAAAAAAGTCATCTCATTAAGTGTAAAATGAATAAAACCCCTACAAAATAGAAGCTCAAGTGAAATTCCTTAGTTTCATAAGCTATAGCTTTCGAACTAGACTTACATTAAAATCAATTGTTTCTTCTTATCAACAGAAAGATTTATTATCACATATTTTTTATTAGTTTATACCTATTTAGAATAATTTAAACTTCTATTTTTGCTGCATAACTGTTATCTTGAGGATCAGTAGGTGAGAGCCTTAACTCATTTTCAGCTAAAGAAAAGGAGTTTTGATGATCCTGAATAGTTACTGGGGTTCAGAAAAAAAAAATGAGACTATTTTTTTATGGAAGATCTAATGTAGTTACAAGAAAGAGAAAATCTAGGATTGTTTTAATGTTTATGAACAACTTTTAGTCATGGTCATGGTCATGATCATGAACTTTTAAAAATATTAATCATGATCATACCGTGAGTTACGACAGTCTCTAATAATTACACGATTTTTATCATCGAATTAAGTGTCATTTTTTTGTTCAACTACAACAATTTCTTCGTTTTCATTTAATGGGCGTTCACTTAATTCTTGACGTATTACTTCCATTACAATTTTTTTATCATTGTGTTGATTTGTTAATTGATCAACATTTGATTGTTGTTCTTGAATGGAATCATTTTTTCGTGGAGATGAATATGTTGGTTCATCGAGTAAAAGTGCCTTATCAAATTTTATTGGTCGTCGTTTATTATCACTATTAGTTAAACGAATTGGTGGTAAGTTTTTTGGTAATGATGAATGTCGTTGATTAATTCGAGCTGATGGTTCTACTCTTTCAATAACTTTATTTCGACGATTGTCATTTTCAACACTATGTTCACGTTCTTTTTTTTGTGATGGACTCATTGTAGGTTTTCTTGAAACATTTTCTTCTTTTTGATGTATATTTAAATGTTCGTCTATTTCGTTATTTTCATATTCTGGTAATCTTATTAATTGTCTTTGTGCTGGTGGTGGTCGATAAAGAACTTCAGTTGGACGACGAGCAGGAATGTATGGTAATATTCCATTCATAGTAGGAGGAGAAGAATGAGTGGATATACCTGAGTATTGTTTTGGACGTATTGAATTTAGAGCATATGCAGAAGACTATGTAAAAAAAAAAGATTTAACATATTTTTAGAATTCTAGGCATAGAACAAGTGTCATAATTCTAGATGAATGCATCCTATTCTCATTGTTCTTTTTAAAATATCTTCGATTTATGATAAACCTAATTGATCACTTGACTCGTGTGTTCTGTAAAAATTAAAAGATAATTCATTATAAACATAAGTCCTTTTGTATGTTTGACTGTTCGAATTCGTCTTTTTACAATTACTGTAATGTTCTCATGGAGAGTCGTTTACTTGATTTATTATCAAGTTTGACCACGAGGGAAAAATCAAAAATTCTGGACTTCACTGCATTTCAGAGAGTACTCCAACGATATGTCTAACGAAGGAACCACCCGAGGTGTCAAAAAGCTTTTCGGTTGGAAATATGATGGTTACATAGAGCATAGCTAGGAGTGATATACCCTATGTTGGTTCGGGCGCAAGTTGAGATCTGGCTGAGATGTCGACTTTTTACTAGAATTTGCCTATGGGATCCCATCTTCTCCATAAAATCAAAGTTTTGAGTTTTGACATGAGACTTTGCCCATATCAAGGCCTCAACCAGAGTAGTCCATCCACAAAGTTTCAGAATTTTTGGACTTAGCATTTCCGAGATATAATGTTTTCAAAATATCCATGCATACAACAATATCCATAAAAAGTTGTGTTTATGCTAACAGATTCATATCTCGGGAATGCTTAGTCCAAAAATTCTGAAACTTTGTGGATGAACTACTCTGGTTGAGGCCTTGATATGGGCAAAGTCTCATGTCAAAACTCAAAATTTTGATTTTATGGAGAAGATGGAATCCCATAGGAAATTTCTAGTTAAAAGTCGATATCTCAGCCAGATCTCAACTTGCGCCCGAACCAACATAGGGTATATCATTTCTAGCTATGCTCTATCTAACCATCATATTCCCGACCGAAAAGCTTTTTGACACCTCGGGTGGTTCCTTCGTAAGCTATCCTCTGAAACCATGTAGTTGTTTCAAGTCTAGTGTTAATATATGTCACGAGCATATTAGTTTGCATTCATTTTATTGCCACATAGACTCATATAAAAGAATCTCACATTACTATGCTAACATTTTGCACAAATTCTCAATACTTTCTTCCAATTTGTTTATAACTTCTTAGTAATTTCGGATAGCAGCTGGGTTTGCAAATACAATTTGCATTTTTTTGGAGGAAAGTGGAATAAAAAAACTAAGCGGATAATTTCATTGGAAGATGAATAGAATTGAAAAGGCCTTGAGATTAGCAGAATTCGTTTATTTTGGAAATGGTATTCAAAATGTGTACAGATAGGATTTTCAAAACTATGCTGCATTCTTTTCATCTTGTTTGTCAATCATATAAGTTGCCACTACGAATGAATATACAGAACATGTCTATATAACTCTATAGTAAACATTATGCTGTATCTATTTGACTAGTTTATAAGTTTACTAGTCTTTCTCCACACCCACATAGACTTATCATTCACAATTAACTCAGTCACTTTGTGGTCTTTTTTTAGTAGACATGCAAAATATTTATTTTGAAACAAATAAAAGCAGAATTTAATCATGAATATACCAGTAAAACTATAACTCGGAATTCATTGAATTTTATCTGATCTACAGTCAGAAGAAAACATCTTAATGACCAAGTTGCAAAAAATGCATGGCCATATAGAAAATTTTTAGATGGTGTTCAAATTCTCAGACGCTCAACAATTAACATGAAGGACAAATTTTCTGAATTTTTTAAGCAAGTACAATTTTGAAATTCACATCTGCACATATTTTGAATACTGTTTCGAAGATAATTGAATTATGCAAATTTTAAATAGTATCTTTTAGTAAAGAATTAAATTCTCTATCGAATGATCTCTTCTCGGACATTTCCATCAATCACATAAGACAGCAAAAAAAACAATGTGACTCATTATTCCTGCACCACCAATTAACATATTAGAAAACAAACATGCACTGCTATACAAAATATCTGGTTTACATGAGTACACAAAAAAAATCAACATTTAGTTTAATATGTCTATAACCATCATATGAAGTGAAATTTTTTTTTAATTTTATTTAACATACTCTTCTTTGGATCTGTATCCAATCGCTGAATTCTTTTCTTTTTAATCTTGAATCATATCGTATAAGTTTATATTTATGATAAAGACTATATTATTGTATAAATTTTCTGTGTAATAAGACAAGTTCCAATATGGAACAGTGATTATATAACGATAGGTGCATTCATTTTATTTGTTCGTGCAGAGGGGTGTACTTATGAGATATAGAAAATATGTTTAACAGTAAGAATAGAAAAAAGAAGAAGATTACATATCATAGATATCAGTTACCCGTGATGGTTTAGATGCTTCTGGTCGTAATCGTGTATCGGATAATGTCCGACGAGAAACATCGGCTAATTTTTTTTTATTTCTTGCTTCAATTTGTTGAGCATATTGTCTTGTTTTGACCATTTTGTCAAGCTATAAGAGAATAATAAAACAAAAGATAATAAAATTGAAATTTTCATATAAATAAAAAAAGTTATATACTTTTTCTTTATGAGTAGTATTATCAAAGTCATAACCAAGATGACCAGTACCAAAACCATAGTTCTTTTTAAATTGTTCATAATCATGACCAGTATAAGGTTTAAATTGTGCATTTTTTCTTGTCTGATTCAATTTTGATAAATATGAATCTTTAGAAGAAAAAAAACACATAATAAATCGTATGTAAGCTACTCGAAATCAATACATTACCTTCTTCTCGACCTTTATCACTGTAATTATAATCTCCTCCATAAACTGGCGGATTATATCCACTACGATTCATTCCTGTTGTCGTTTTTCCATATCGACCCATCGATGGGTTAACAACTGTACTTGGTATTATTGGACTTCGTTGAGGTGGATGTGTTGCTGGTAAAGTCTAATATAACAAATTTAAATAATAAAAACTAATAGAACTATTCTTACTTCATCAATACTACGTTCTAATTTTCGAATGTGTCGATCTAAAGGATATAAATTAGACCAATGAGGATGATCTGATGTTGATTGATGTTGTTGTTGGTGTTGGTGTTGTTGCTGCTGCTGCTGCTGCTGCTTAAGATTTTGTAAATCAAGAAGGCGTAAATCAATATTCAACGAAATTTTATCTCCATCATTATTGATCTGACCATCTATAAGAAAAACAAAAGGAAATATCAATATATATATATTTTTTTTAATTTTAATTATATTCATAAATTTACCAAGTGGAATAGTCACTGTTGCAGGTATAGATCCATTTTGTGAATTTTCACCTGTATTTAAATTAATTGTTACAGGTAAACTTGATTGACGTTGAGGTTTAGTTGATGATGGTGATTGTATTTTAGGTTCTTGTTCATGTTTTCCATTTCCATAATCATTATGGAGATCTTTTCTTTCCAAATATAAATTTTCATATTTTCGTACTGGCGAACGTTGATAAAAATTTTCTTTGTTTTTAATCATATCAATATGTTCTTCGATATTATTTGATTTTGTCATTGGTGGTGGATGATGAAGAATACGTTGTGGTGGTTTAAATAGAGTTGCTGATTGTTGACTACCGGAACTATTCCATGTTGAACTTGAACCAAATGTACCTTTTCCTCGATTAGGTGATTCACGTTTTTTACCATTTTTTCCTTGAGTTTTAGCACTTGTACGTTGAAATTCAGTCCAAATAGCTTAACAAGAAATGAAGATATTGCTTTATTTAAAATTTATATTTTTAAGAATTTACCTTGTCGTTTAGAATCTTGATCTTGTTGATCATTACTACGATGACTTACTGTAAATGATTGTTGTTGTTGTTGTTGTTGTTCGTATTGATCATCTTTATTATCTGTAAAAAATATTTCTTGATTATTTGGTGGATTTATTTGACGTGGAATTTGTTCTTCATAATGTTGTTGAGGTGGAATTCTTTGATATTCATTAAATACATTTGTGTTTTGTTGATTAGATGGAACAGAATGTAATGATGATGGTTGAGTATTTATTGGATTTGGAGGTAAATTAGGTCGAACATAGGATGTTCGTTGTGTTGATGGCATATGAGTATGTGTTTGATCAAATGTAGTATCATATTGTTGAGGGGGTGGTGGTGGTGGCGGTAATGGTAGTGATGGTCTATGGTTAGGTACATAATTTTGTCCAAGAGAATTAAGCAATGGTCGGTGAAATAATTGATCTTCTTGGCCAAAATAGCTTAAAAATGCACCTGGATCAGTAGTATAAGATGAAGGCATAAATATATCATTATTATCCATTTTTGATAAATGAGATGATTGTTGTTGAGATTGAGAATAATTTGGTAAATTTATATTCGAAGCTGAATATGGATTTGTTTGATATTGTTGTTGTTGTTGAGTTTGAGAATAATTTGGTAAATTTATATTCGAAGCTGAATATGGATTTATTTGATATTGTTGTTGTTGTTGTTGTTGTTGTTGTTGAGTTTGAGAATAATTTGGTAAATTTATATTCGAAGCTGAATATGGATTTGTTTGATATTGTTGTTGTTGATCTTTTAAATCAAGACTATCATATAATTCGGCTTCAAATAAGGCATCAGTTACTGTTCGGTTTGCTATGTTTGTTAAAACTAAAAAATAAAATTTTACGATTAAATCGACTATTATTTCATGTATTTGTTTTTTTCTTTTTTCTATTCTTTGTTCTTATGACAACCGTAACTCATAAACAACATTTATTGTTAATACCATTTTACGATTTTTGTCTACTCTTATTGAAATATGTTTTCTTTTTTATAAATAGAAAACTTCTAAATGAAAGAAAAACGAAAAAAATCAAACGGGCTATTACATGCCCTCGTGTCATACCTTTTTACTTCAATGAGCTATATTTAAATATAATTTATATCCTTACCTCTAGATAAATAAACCTTTAAAATGCACAAAAGAAAGAAAAAAGAAAACTTTACCATGATTAGATTGAGATGAACCCGTCGGTCGAACTAGATTTGGTTGATAAGGCACTGAATTCCGTCGATAGATAGGAGGAGGGGTAGGAGGTAGTAGTGGTATTTGTTGTTGCTGTTGTTGATTAGACATTGCATCAAGTTCAGCAAGTAAAGGGCCAAGTAGTGGATCTTGTCGAGGATCAGCTCTATTCATAAAAGTATATTTATTTTTCTCGTTAAATAATATATATCTACCTTGGTATGTTGTTTAAAGTATTAGATGATTGTCCTTGTGGTTTAATTGAAATTGATTCTTTTCGATAAGGTATTTGAGAATGAGTATTATTAGTACCAAGAATATCTAGTTCAAAATCAAGTGAATCCATTAATGCTGCACCTGTACCAACTGGTGCCTTTGTATCAATTATAGATCCTGTACGATTAGTTAAACGACTTGAAACATATCTATACATATCTTCTTCTTCTTTATTATCAAGTGATGGTGATTCTAAATAAACTCTTCGTCCCAATAAACCAGTTCCATCTTCATCTTTATTCGATAGATCTTGTTGTGCATTAGATTGGCTAGAAAATAAATATTTGTCATCATCAAAATCACCAGGATATCGATTATCAACTATCATTTGATCGTATGTACTCATGATTAAATTTTTTGTGCGAACATTTGACAGGACAATATATAATTACATTTATGTCAACGCCATTATACCTCGTGAATGATTACCATAGCAACAACTCTTTACTTATAATTTTCGAATGAAAATTGAAATTTATATAGATGTCAGATAATGTTGAATTATTTGTAAACCTATTTTATTTATCAATTTAAGAAATATTTCATTTAGCAAAAAAAGAATGCTAATTAATTTTAATTGATTTATTAGAAAAAAATACATTCGAGAAAATTTTAATTTCGGAAAATTATGAACTAAAAAAAAGAAATAAATAATTATAGAGAATATATTGGTAAAAAAATTAAATGCATAGATTCTCGAAAAATGATTCTATTGATCGGAAATTTCTAAAACTTTAGTATCAATTTTTGTAACATGATGCTAGCTCAACCGATAAAATAAATGATGCTTCAGAAAATAATAAGAAAGTTTTCAAGAGAATTTTCGAGAAGTTTCTACCTTTTCATAGCACTGCATCCTGGTGCATTACGACCTCAATCAAACTTTATCCAAACCTATTGAATATGTGTTTTTTTTTTAAATATCTCAGTCTATATCTCATAGGTATTTTTGAGCGTTTTCGAAAATCTAATTTTCATTTTTTAATGAGAGAAACAGCGTCAAAGTTCGGGGTCAAAGCCGAGTTTTTGGCTTTCATAGCTGTATAAATCCGGATAGAAAAATGAAAATTACAATCATATGCTCAGATTCATTCTCTAAGTTTTAAACGTTTCTGTCCGTCAAATTCATTACAATGTAAATGAATTTCACTTGCTAATTGTTTTATATCTTTAGGAATTTGTCTTTTTTCTTATATCTAACTCAGACGGAACATGTGATTCAAGTGTCAACAGTGAATAAATCACAGACTTTCATTGTAATGGCGAATAAATATTTAAATAAGATTGATCAGTAGTAATTTTACTGTATGATTTTTCTAGTGAAATAATTCTATACATCTTTATGAATAATTTTCGAGCATGTTGTAAAAACATACGTGTTCAGAAAATATTCATCGAATTATTTAATTAATTAATGTTTTGATTAAAATTAACATCATACGAAAAGTATTCTTCTGAGATGTCGAGTCTAAAACTACTAGATAAAGTTAAATTAGATTATTTATTGAATTTGAAATGCATATAATTTATATTAAAAACATCTCGTTTAAGAATACTGATCATTCTAAGGATTAAACTTCTTCTTGGTTGAATTTGTTTTAAGCTATATGATTCGTTCAGTTGCTATTGTTGTAGAACGCATTCATTTGTCGAGTAATAGTAATTAAGATTGAGATGTTTTCTGTACAAATTGCTATTATTATTTATTCATTAAAGATGTTATCAAATGATATCATTCTATTTAATATAACTGGATATGTGCATAGAAGTTCGCTATCACAATTAAAATTGTATATTATTTATCTCACTATATTTTATTATTTTTGTACAAGTTATAGAACATTTGGTTATTCTTGAATCAATTGATCAAGCAAAATTAAAGTCATAATATATTATTATTGAAATTATTGGATTATATATTAACGTCATAACCATATCACACATATGTTCATTCTATTGCTGACATAGCAGCATTAGATTGTCGATTGCAGAACAACTATCAGTATACTGTGATGAACTGTTGGTCACAGGATAGTCAACGGCTTAAATATCAAACTACTATCGACAAGTATACATTATATTAAACGATCTGTCAATAGTTTGCCAGTGGTTTTTTAATCAATTCGAATCACATGGATGGATTTCGATGATTTAAGTCATTTTCATTCATATGTTAATAAATAGGAAAAGTAAAAATATCGGATATAGTGTTGAAATAGGTTATGGAGAACGATTATGTTTACACGAGAATCTTACTTATTAAAATAAATTATTAATATTTTATTGTTGTGCCGGAGTCAAAATGAGCTCATTTGGCAAGTTTTCAAATATTGTACTAGATTACTCATGTGATAACTGCCGGCATACCTATCGGTAAAATGTATGCTATACCGAATGTAGTACGAACAAATGTGTGATATCGGACAGTTGTTATAATAAAACTTTGACTAAGAGCAAAGCATTGCCGGAAAAGCCCAAAGTAAAGAGTTTTAAGCTGTAATATTGTCTATACGTGGATTAGATAGCCCTTAAGACTTCAAGGAAAATGAGTATGTTTTTTTCAAAATATTTTATTTCTAAGTACATTCAATTAGTGTGTTCTTTTCTAATAAATCGCTTTTTTCTCGAAATTTCAGGTTGAAATTCTCAACTTTGGGTTTTTCGGAACTGTCCTCTTCATCATTAAACCATCGATCTAAAACAATCCCCTTAAGGTTGTTCGTAGTCTCATTGAGATCTATTCGTAGCCATAATATGAATTCAAATGGCATCTAATAGTCGAGTATGTTCCCTTGTACGATAAATCTGATTGTTGTCTTGGTAAAATTCATAAGAAACTTATATTGTCTAAAACAATTGCTTGTAATTTTTCGCTATTTCTCAATAGATCTTGATAAAAGAAGATTTTTTTTGACTATTAATTATTAATACTCACAGGACTTTGACATCCAGACAAAATTTATATAAAATAAACAAGAACTTTAATCCATTGTTATTGCCGATAGTTCAAAAAAACCACCACATATTGAAAGATGAATATCAAAAGTCAATACCGACTATAATTAACAAATTGACAAGAATATTAAGAAAGAATTTTTCACTCTATAATACAATTCATCACTCCTTTACGTTTATTGAAGCAAATAATTGATCAAGTTTTTCTTATTCGTGCATAACGAAATATCTAACAAAAGAGTTTTTGCTTTTTTTATGTATCTTATAAATATATCATTAAACATATAACGTCATTCTTGAAAATTTAATATCAATAATTTTAGAGACTCATTGTTTTGAAAATATAAATATCTTTGTAAAAACTAAAATTAAAATAAATCGACAAGTAGAAGTACGATACAATGAATACCATTGTTTTTCTTCATACGGAAATTATTGATCATATATTAGAAATATTAATCGGTAGGATTTAATGATTCAACAATTTCTTATTGTTCTACTAGTTATGAATGAAAGAGTCAGATGTTCATGATAATTAATAATAAAGAAAGTAAAGTTTTAATGTCTTCGACATTATACTGAACAGACAAGGCACTTAACATACGAAAAACGGTAAATGAGCGCATATATATTCGATGAATAAATAACAACAAACAGAAAACAATCGACTCACGTCCTAATTTATTTCATAAACAAAACCTTACATTGATATTTAATTAAAAAAAAATGTTTTCTAGTAAAAAGCTCATGTCAATTATCTCTAACCAAGGTAAAAATCAGTCTAGCCTTTGTTATAAGGCTTTTCCCATTAACTAGAAAGAATAACATATTTTTAATGCGCATTATTGTCATATATGGAAATTTCATCAGTTGAGACAAAAAAAATTTCTTTTTTCTCATGCATATGGTAAATAAACAAAAATCGAATGAGTTTTTCAATCTTGTGTATACATGAAGTATTCGACTAAGCAAGAGTAAAACAAACGTTTCTTTTTCTTCCTTCTTTCACTCCTATTTTATTCTTTGAGAATTCTTTTTCTCTTCGTCTTCTTCTTTTTTTTTTCTTTTCTTATAGAAATATAAATCGACACAAGAGATGTTGATGGCATCTCAGCCACCGACGACCACTATTCAAACATTACCTTCAGATCAGCAATAGCAGCAGAAAAAGCAACAAGAGTTTGGAGGTATAATAAACAGTAAAAAGAGCAGTAGAAAAATTCAATTTAAAAAAAAAGAAAAGAAAAATCCATGGAGTTCAATGATGATATACAGTTTAATAATCATGTCAGTGATGATATCAATGAAAATCATTCATTAGATGAAATAATCAAATCATCAAATATTGATGAAAATTCTCATTTATTAACTGAACAAACAACATTAATAACTTCTAATCGTCGACCTATTCGATCTTCAACTAATCGTCGAATAACTGGTGATAATGAACAAAATACATCATCAAATATAAACGAACCTGATCCTAATGTCTTTCTTATTTCATCTGATACAAATTCTCATAATACAATACGTAAAACAAAACATGATGTTAAACGTTTTGTTATGTATATAGATGAACAATTCGGTGAACAAATGCCTTTACATACAATATCAGCAGAATCATTATGTCGATATTTAAAACATTATTTTGAAAATACGAAAAAATTTGATGGTACACAATATGAACCAGATACATTAAGAAGTTTTTTATTAAGTATTGAACGTTATTTAAAAAGTAAAAATTATCAATATAATCTTATGGAATCACCATTATTTCAATCATGTCGACAAGTTATTGTAAATAAACGTGAAGAATGGAAAAAATTAGGTTTAACAAATCATTTAAAACAATCATCATTAAGTTTATTAAATACAAAACATTTAACTGTATTTGATCGAACGAAACCTGATGGTTTATTACTTGAAATATATGTTCATATAACAAAATTATGTCAAGTATCAATGGGACAATTACTCTGGGGTGATGTATCATTAATTGATGAACAATATCTTATTTGTCATCAACATAAACTTGAAAATCAAACAGTTAGGTAAGTTGAAATAAAAAAAAAACAAAAGATAGAAAATCTTCTTGTTTTTTTTTGTTGTTTTAATATAAAAAAATATTCTTAATTTCTTATAGACTTTATGCAACACCACATAATATATCGACATGTCCAGTACAAGCTTATCGACTTTATGCAACACATCGACCACCGCAATGCAATACACCACAATCACCATTTTTTCTTATGCCACGTTCAACAAATATTCAGCCGATTTGGTAAGAAAAAGAAAATAATTGAAACTTTTAAAATTTTTTTACTATTATTTATTTTATTATAGGTATAAAACAACAGCAGCTAGTAAAAATCTTGAACAAATACTTCAAAAAGCTATACAACAAGCTACTCTTCTTAAACAAGCATCATCTCCAACAGTAAATGAATCATTATCAATGATAACAATTCATAATGGAAAACGAAATGAATTACAAAATAATTCATTACCAATAGCAAAACGATTACAATCATCTTTAATTCAACCACTTAATCTATCTGTAACAACAACAACAACAACAGTAGAAGATGATAGTGGTACAGCTTTATCATCACCAACAAATTCATTATCAAATGATGTTTTATCTTCATCATCAATAAATGGTTCTGTTAATAAACTATCAACAATAATTCCTATTTGGGATGAAAGTGTTACTGATATATTATTAACTGTTGCAAAACAACGTGATACACGTACGGCAAAAATAAATACACTTCGAACGTATTTAGAAGAAAAATTAGGTTTTGTTGAGTTTTTATGTCTTTATCGTGGTTTTAAATCCGAACCAAAATTAACATTTCATGGGACACCATGGGAACATTATCAACGTTTTTTACCTGTTCTTTTTACTTTACTCACACTTGACAATACGACAACTGTTTAATCAATGTCATTTTTCATTTTTTTTATAAATCAAGAATTTGAAATGGTTTTCGTTTTTTTTTTTTTTTGTATATCTTGAATATGTTATAGACAGAAAAGATATTAAAAAATTTTGTTTGAATATGTCACCTAGAATCGATATTTTTCAATTTACTGTTGTTTGTTTTTCGATAGTAGAAAAATCGAACAGTGAAAGTCAGGATCTTCACAAAATTATTTTATTTAAACAAATAAAGTGTGTGACGAAGAATTATATAGTTCTTTAATGAAATTATTCATAGAAACTGAATTGATTAAATATCGTATTACTTAGTTGTTTTGAACAGATATTAGATTTTGAATATGAAAAGAAATAATTTTATAACAGAATATTTTTTAAGAATAAAAAGAAATTAAGCCAATGAATTTTCCGAATGAGAAAGTGATAGAAAAAATGTTTAAATTTCTTGGATTCAATGAAAAATATACTCATATCGTCTTTTTCTCATCAAAACTGACGGTTGATCACGATTCTTTGGAAAGTTCCTACTTCCAATAACTCACTCGCTTTCTATTGAATTGGTATTATTTCTTATGAAAGTGTCGATTATAATATATTATAAAATATTATTTTAGACGGATGCCACCGTAGTTTTTTTCTACTCGTTGGCTCTTTGAAATGATGACCTGTTATTTTTTTTGTGATGCCGTTTTGAAAGAATAAAACCAGCTTATCAACTGAGCAAAAATAACCGATACAATTAGTATTAATGGCTTGAGCACTAAAAACCTCAATAGTCATGACATTAGTCTCTGTCAAAGCACTGACATATCGAATGAGTTACTCATTGACTGTCGTCATAAAATATACATCGTGTTTTATCTATTGTTTTCTATTCTTTGTTGTATTACCTTTTCCTTTCATTTTTTTCTTTTCGCTTCTAACCATTTTTCTGATTCATTTTTCTATTTTCTTTAACCTTCGCATACTTAATCGGAAAGCAACATTAGGTTGTGAGTTTAAGGTGAGTCAGGAGGTAAGCCACATCTACGTATGTATTAATACTAGGTGCATAAGTAATATATTTCTGTGAAGTTCACCATGTTATTCAAACTAATAGATTGACCAAATTTACGATATTTTTTGATAAGGGTAGATGCACTCATTTTACTATTTTTCGTTAAGTACTACAAGTCAAAACACAAAATGACATAGGTTAACGGAGTTGTTACTTTTCTATTTCACTGAACTTCGATGTTTAGTGTAGTCAGTATCTTAGTGAAGGTTCATGTAAGGATTATTGAAGTTCCCGTAAACGTTAGCGTCAGTGTTTTCATCTACATTGCACATTCCTACTTTCGACCGATTATCGTAATATGCATTGCGGCTACCATGGTTTATAGAATATTGCGTACTTGATATTCAAGTCAAAATGGAACAAATCAGTTTCTGAAACTAAGCTGTCTGAAAAATTTTGTTCTGCTTTGAGAACACCAGTTCCAGTTACAGAACAAAGTTTTTCTATACTAGAAAATGCCCTTCGCAAAATCAGAACAACTATTGTTCGAACAAATCATTCAAATCAAACAATTTTTTCAACAGTACTTCAGATTGAAATAAGGCGTAGTAAACTGATTTCTATGTTAGAAATCACCGGAAATCATTAAAGCACATTAAGGACACGAATAATCAATGGATGGGTCAAAAATTATGAAAAATCGTTTGAAACCATTAGAAATCATTCAAAATCAGAGAAAATCTCCAGTAATAATATAATAAATAAAAACTTGATTTTTCGTGATTATTCTTCATGTCTAAGAATTTCCAATAATTCCTATTGATTCGCGACGAACAGATAAAAACTAAGTTCCAGTGATAGAAATCAAAGAAATCAGTTTGTTTTCAACCTTATATTGAAACTAAAAGTGAACTTGTACATATCTGCAACTATGATCGTTGACAATAGCTGTACAAAAGTTGAAAATTTCGAAATATAATATAATAAATGTTTACAAGACAAAAAAAAACAGTCATCCTTTGTTTGTTTTTTATATCATAGTTTTGCATACATTTCGTTTATTACTTTGACACATGTTTCTTATTATTCTTATATAATAAACATTATAATGTCTTTCTAAAGTTATTTGATAAACAATGCCACTCCTATTATTTTTATTGTTAATGATTTATTGCTTACCGCTTTATGTTCTTGAAAGCATAAACCAAATTCTGCGAAATTATTGATTAGTTTCCATTAGAGAAATGTAGAAGGAAGAAGTTTTGTTTCCAATAATTCCTAGTTTTATTTGATTTATTCAGTTGACCAATGCAATATAGGTTTTTAATCTTTTCTCTGCACTCGAATGTGTTTCTTCCGATTATTCAATCTTTGGTCTTACCAGTTTTGTACTTTCATTTGAATTCTTTTAGACCTGCATAGGCGCCGTCTTGAAACAAAAGCAAAAAAAAAGAGATGTTAGTATATAAAATACTTTCGAATTTTCAATATATTTTCTCAATATTCTTTTTTTTTTTGAAAAAACAAGCTGGTTTAAGCCACAAGAGTTTATATACCTTGGTGCATATAATTCTGTTGAACGCTTAGTTTTGAATAGCATTCAACAAAAAAAAAGCTACATTTCCACCTAATCAATTATTATATACAATTTTTTTAAATAAAAAACTAATCACATCTAATAGAAAAAAGCAGATGTGAAGAAATATTCAAGCAATAAATGATCATTGAACAAGCGGTTTTGTCATTGTCACCGGACGACCAACATTAGCTCGAATAGGTGTATTTCGTGCTGATTCTGACCTACAATATTAATAGAAATTATTAGAATAAATAAACATAAAGACTGTTATATTGTTGTTTATAGAAACGAAAATCAAGATAATAAAACTAATATCATGTTTCTTTTTTTAATTTATTTTACCTTGTACAGTCATCACTGGTTAGTGAATTAGCTGATGCATTAGTTTGTTGTTTTTTTTCTGATTTAAATCGACGAAAAAATCGACGTTTTTTTGGTGTTGATGTTAATGTAGAATGTGAATCCCGATGTTCCATAATAATATTACTTGTATCTATTGTAAGAAAATAATTAAATTAAAATTTTAAGAAAATTTTTTATTTACCTAATTTTTTTTTACTTGATTTTGATCGAAATATATTTCTAAATGATCGATATATTGAAGGATGTCGATGAGGCGTTATTGTATCGGTTGAACTTATAGATAGACATGGTTCTAAAAATTTTATTTTATTGATATTGAATTTAAATGGTAGAAAAATTTGTTTATCTTACCTGCTGATACACTATGTGGTATAACACTAGTTTCTACTGTAGTATTCAACGCTGAAATTGCAGCATTTTCATTTTGTTGATCTTTTTTATGATGTTTTTTGCGTCGGTGCAATATTGAATTTCGAAATGAACTCATAAGTGATCGTGATTTTCGAGGTTTATCAAGTTGATTATCATCTGTATACGAAGTTATGGATGATAATGTTGAGCATGCAGAAGTTGCTAAATCAATTGTTGTCGGACGAGAAATATTTGATGCGATGTTAAGAGCCTAGATTTACAAATTAGAAATATTAAGAAAGTTGAACTCATTGAAATAGTAATATAACAATAAGGCAATCAAATTCAATAATTAAACTAGAGAAAACTATCAATACTAAGTGTATCAAAATACAGAACTGAATAGTTTAGTATTCTCTTTTCTGCTGATACGATTGTCCTAGGCGTCGACTAAATATAAGAGGATTCCATCTCCCTCTCGTATTTCTGGGGTTTTAGGAGAGAAAGTCACCAGAAACAAAATGACAAAGTCGTCATAGACTCAAAACTTCTAAGTATACTCTTGTAAGATCTAATGACGTCACAAGCGATGAAAGTGATTCTCTTGCCATTTGTTAACCGTAATACGTCTCATAAAGCTGACATTTTTTTCACAAATACTAGACATTGTTTGGGATATCTACTTTTCTCAGTTTATCTTTATCTCTTAATATTCTAATAAAAACAATCAGCAGTACATCGTATTTTTAAACAAGAAAGCAACCTAAATATTCTCTGGTATCAGTAGAAAAAAGTTTCAACACAATCGAATGTACTAGACTTGAGACACAAGGATAATAGTTTACTTTTTTCATCAATATCTCATTTATTAGAAGAAGTAAATTAATGCAAAGATTTCGATGTTTCGTAGCGAAAATGTTTCATCTGCTCGAATCGTTTATGACTTTTACAGTTGATATTAATGTTTGAAGTGCACTAAGTACATAGTGGTCACTTCAAAGTGTACATAGAGCAGAAGCAAAAGAGTCAAAAACTGGAAAGTCTAAAAATTTTGGGTAATAAAAAGGAAAAGGACGAGCGAATAGGATCTCCTTAAATATAATTTAAGTGCAAAAACACTTCAATCCTGATAATTTTCTTACAATCTTATCAAATAAAACGATTCAATTAGAACGAATATTTTTTACAATAAAATCTTAATTATTCTTTTCGTAAAATACAGTTGTCAACGAATATTCAAAGCCGTCATCTTCATGCTACAGACATTTCTTTTTGTTGTAATCAATGATCGATTGAGTTTATAAGATCAGAATTTTCCATTCATATCCGATGATCATTCTAAACTTTTATCGAACTCAAATAGTTTCTTTGACTTGATCCTTATAAAAAATTGTTCCTCGATCAGATTTCAGTTTTTACACATTGTAAACTCAACATGTTCTCATAATATCGGAAGGATTTTAAAATATAAATGGCAGGACATAAGCTTCCTGTATATGTCGATGAACTATCTATTGAACTCTTTGACAACGAAAAACCTATTCATTCTTCTCTTATGTGACTAGTACCATACAACGTCATCCTGTGGTAATATTATGCATGTATGTCAATGAGAAACAAGAGAAAATTTGGGATCCAGAACTATTCGAGAATCTATAGAATCTCTACATTGAAAGACTGTTAGAATAACATGAAACCAAAGAAGCCCGTAAAATGGCATAAAAAATCAGAACTATTATTATTCAATAATCCTACGACTTTTAGTAAAGCTTTAATGTTACAGATTATCAGATGTTAGATTTCCTAAGATTTATATTATGAAATAGGATTGTAAAATTTTCCATGAAATCAATCATAGGATTCTATAATATTCAGGGTCATTTTAATTGAGTGCAAAATTTGATGATTCTTCACGAAATTTGCTGTTCTTCATGACAAATACGCCTTGTTTCAGATTCTTTTTCTCGACAAATAAGGCGCCGCCGTCAACAGATTAAAAAATAAATATGATGGCTTACAATTGATTAAGAAGTATCCAACTTAAAGAAAGCAAAAATATTTTTGTTTGTCAGTTATCAGAGTCTCAAAAACAATGTTTTACTAAAATTTTCTTATGATAATTTTTTAAAATTACATTGACAAAATTCGATATATCTTGTACTTACATTATTTGCATAAGTATTATCTTTGAACAATGGATTTCCATTATATGGTAATGCTATTATTTCATCAGATGGTGATCGTTGATAACCATGTTGAATATTATTTGCTTCTATGTAAATGAAAAATTATTAATTTATATTACAGATAAAATTTTAATGAGAGAAATATTGTTAGAAAAAAAAAATAGAAATAATTATTGTACCTCGTCTAATATTCGACCAATCTAGACTGTCATTAATACTTTCAATATCATAGTCATTGTTAGCTAATTATATTAGATTGTGAAAAGAAATACATAATGTGAAATAGTTAAAAGATGAAAGCATGATAAAAAAAAAAGCAGCATGATGATTGGATGAACTTACTAGCTGAAGATTCTTCATCAGATAAAGTTGAAAACTAAAACACAAAAGATTGAATCAATTTTTGTATTATTAAAGACGCGAATGTTTTTAAAAAACCATGTGTATAAAAGAAAAACTTCTTTAGAAAAAAGAATATATATACATAAAACTGCATTAAGAGAGAAAAAATTTGCGCAAATGTTTTCTTGATTTAAGACGATTTTGTAAACGATTTATAAAATCTTGTTGTTTCCAATCTCGTGATGCAGTTGAAGCATTTGATGGTGATAATGATACTTTAATTTTACTTTCGTTAGAAGTTTCTCTTTGTAACGAAGGTTTTTTGAAATGACATATTGCTAATGTTTCAAATAATGTTAATGAATGATGATTTGGAAATGAAGTTGTTTGAACAGCAAAACCTGTTGATTCCATAGGTACTAATGAAGCAGCAGTTGAATGTGAAGGTTCATTAGATGGATTTTCTAAGATGGGTAATGTTGCAGTATTTATTAGATCTAATGTATCTATTTGTTCCTTTTGATTATTCTCGATTGATAATGATGATTCAATATGTTGAGACAATTCATCTATATTTGAACAAGAATTGGATTTAATCGGTTTCAAACTTGGCAAAGGAGGATTATGTTGTAATTGTTTATTACGTTGATGACCAAATTTATTACGTACTTCTGGACTTGTACATAAATCGATAAATATTCGATTTAAATTTGTCTCACTTCGGCTGCGTACCATTTCAATGGATGATATTTCTTTCTTACTCACTTATATTCTTAAGTAAATAATAAATCATTAGATGAGTTACGTTGCTTAGCCAAGAAAAAAAACAAGAATGAAGACGAGAAAAAAAGAGAACAGCATAAAACGTCGTAGGTGTTAAAAACAACGACGAAGAAAAAATAATATCTGATTGCCTGTATATACAGGAGACAAAAAAAAAAAAGGTAAATATATGAATGAAGCCTGTTGGTACGATTAACAGTCTCGGCTACATTAAAGTTGATGAGAGAGAGAGAGAGAGAGAGAGTATGTAAAAATGTTTACCTCGATGCGAATTATTGAATCAGGATGTAGAGGTGTTATTCGTACATCTTGTTTGTAATTTGTGCTTGTTATATAAGAAAATGGGATGGACACGTCAGCATAAATTTTATCAACTTGGAAAAAAGGAAAAAATAAAATAAATTAAATAAGGAAGAAAGAATAAATGAATGAACAAACTGATATGATTATTATGTTTTTTATTTGGTTTTTTACGATCGATAATTTTTAAACGTATTTGATTACTTTTATCGTTACTATCGAATAGAAAAGCTTCATCCCAAAAACTAAATCAGATAATAAAATAATTTAATTATTTATATACAACAATGATAAACATACGGATTAAGACCATTTTTTGCAATACTTGTTTGATGAATTTGTTTAGGTTGATTTAATTCAACAATACAAAATGGTTGTTCAACATCTAAATTTTCATTTTTTTCAAATTAGATATATTTCGTCAAGAATTTACCGTGTAATTTAACAGCTTTAACAATGCGAACAAGTAATTTTTTTGCTTCTTTTTCAGGCAATAGTTCTTGATTATTTTCACTAATTGTTGGTAGAAGAGGGATTTCATATGGCTGATAGACTTGAGAAGGTTCAGGTGAAATTTGTTGAATAGATGGTTCCTAGAATGACGTACATTTTTCTTTTATTGAAGTCTTTTTATAAAATAAAAATGTCAATTTGACTTTTATATGTATGTTAAATAAAGATTGATTTCTCGTTCTTATTTATTACTGCGAGTCAAATGCATAAATTAATGGAAAAACTATGCTTATTATTCCCTAAGGATTCTTCGATCGTATCAAATGCTGATGAGAAAACAATCTGAACCCATACCTATTGTTTGATCTCATAATGAGTACGACAGAACGTCTTCATGAAGCTAGAAAATGCCTCGACAGATTCGTCCCGTAAGCCGTCTTTAGAAAACAGGGTTACGATTGTTTTATTCAGTTTTTGATACATACTAAAAAATCGTTAAAAACAGTATTCTCGATGCAAGATTTTGTCTATAGATAGGTCTGATGATTCATAGAATATAATGAAAAGTTCAATCGAAAAAAATATTCCTTTTTATAGATATTGAATTTTTAAGTGAACTTGAATGGTATAACATATTTGTGCTAAACAATTATTTTTAGAATATGCAATGGATTCTATGACCTATCCATGAGCAAAATTTTATATCAAGATTTTGTTGTTTTTGATTTTTCAGTATATACAAAAAACTAAATCTAAAATTGAGTAAAACTATCGTTTTAACTCCGCTTCAAAGATGGATTGGAACAAACTCATTTAGACTTTTTATAGTTTTATCAATATTTTCTTGTGCGCTCAATATGACTCAAATGACAGTTATTAGTTTGAATAGTTTTCTTGTGAATATATACTTAATCTTTTTCTTTTATTTCATAGAACAGTCATCATTTTTCAATTAGCATCAATGAAATCGAAATAAATTCTTTTGTACCATTTCACAAAAGCCACATCAATTTCTTTCTTTTATTTCAGGGAATTTATGAAATACCAAATGTCAATAGAAATAATCATCACGTAGAAAATAAATTCACAAGATAAGCTTTTAAATACTCTTATGGTGATGTTTTTTCAAACATGAATAATCTTTCAAATATGTTAATCTTGTACAAGAAAAACCTATTCATAAAACTAAATATATTTTTTTCTTAATCGTGTTAAGTGACTCTTTAATTCTTTTTTTTTTTCTATTCAATATTAAAAAAAAGCCTTCAACTAACAGCATAACATTTACCTTTGAAGTAACAATCTTCGATTCATTAACAATATTTTCTTGATGATCTGATGATAGATGACAACAAAGTTGAACAACAGTTTGCCGAATTATTTCTTTAAATAATTTAATAATTGATTCTTTGTCATCAGATGATAAAATCTAAAAAAATAAAAATAATTTTACAAACAAAAAAAAAAAAGAAATATTTTCTAAATTTTTACATTTTTCGAATCAATAATTTCAGCATTATCAATTTCAATTTGTTTAAATTTAACTTCAATTGAATATTTATTTGTAGAACTAGTCAGGAAAATTTCAAGGTTACCAGTTAATTTTGGTATTTCAATTGAATAATGTTGACATTTTGCTATATTAACAATATTAAAAATTAAATGCACAATATCGAGTACTGCATGGATGACCTTTTCAAAAAGAATTTATATAGAATAATAAATAAATAAATAAATATTTACAATCGTTTCAACTGATGCTTGAGAAACATCATGAATTTTTGCATTAGAAAATTGTAATGTTTCTATATTCAGTTGTTCCTGAAGTAAAAACAAACACAATAATAATATATACATAAAAATACAACAAACATTATATATGATAATAGGATAGAAATATTATTCTATTACCTTTTTATAAATAAATTTTTGATTTAATGAATGTACAAATTCATTGAAAAAACATTTCTGAATATGATTAGGAGAATTTACTAACCAATTTAAAATAGATAATGATTTTTTCGATTGAAAAAATTTATTTTGTATTTTTAAAAATAAACATTTATTAAATGAATAAATATATAAATAAATATGTAAGAGAATATTTGAGTCTGCTATTACTGATAGAATAATTATTATTGTTATGATAGAAATAAATATTGTGAAATATAAGAAATATCCATTAGAAGTTTCACGTGGATGTAAATGAAAGTTATGATAATAAATATTTAGATGATGAAAAAATTCATGAAGACTGTCACGTTGATATTCAATAAATTTATCGATTAGGGATCGATGAATCGAAGTCATTGCCAATGTCAAGAGAGTATTTCTCTATTGCTACATATTCCATGCACATAAGGACTCGGAAAAAGAGAAACTCAATAAATCATCATCGGTTTTTTTTGGTCGCTCGACATTTTTTTTTTCTCATTTTTACAGTCTCGCTCGTGTGCATTTATCATTACAGATATAGAAAAGCAACGGAAGAGAGAGTAACGAGAGAGAAAAAAAAAATCTGTATTTATCTTATGAGTTGATGATGTTTTTGGAAGAAAGACCAAAATGTTGCTCGCTTTATTAGTTACAAACATCAAAGATCATTTTTGAAAGAAAATAATAGGATGTCGTTGATAGAAAAACAAAGAAAAGAAACATCTTTCCTTCTTACATATGATAGAGCACATATTTAGTCGATATGCTAACAAATCATCCGTATATTAATATACAAAATAATGACAACATCAAGGTCTTCCATTTCCTTAAATACAAGACTAGAATTACTTACATTATTTTTCGAAAATGTCTTATTTAATGCAATTCGACATGCTTCACTAAGATTTTGATAACCATCATTTTGTTCATATTCAAGCCATGAATGTAATTCTTTTTCAATTTTTTCATCTAATACATAATTAATATTATTATTATTATTATTTATAATTGCAGATGTTTGTTGTAATGATAAATTGTCTGTCTTATTTGACATAATTTGTTGATTTTCATTGGATAATTGTTCATTCTTTTTATGATATTGACCGTATTTTAAATTTTTCGATATAATTAATAAAATAATAATTGGTAAACAAATAATAATTGAAAATTTTGCAAATCGATATAAATTTTCTTTTAAATTTGAGAAAATTAATTTTGAATTAACTGCACATGATGAATTTGGATAATGCCGATAACATTTTGGTCCATTAGATTTTAATATAGATAAATAGACAGGAAACGGTGAATAACGACGATAAGTATTAAGAAAATATATATATTTTTGTTTAGGTAAAAAATAATCATAAGTTGTTTTTGTATAATCATAACAATTAAGATCAGTATAAGCTGTATAGATTGAACTAACATTATATCGAGGTAAATGTTGTGTATGTTTAGTTGTTAAAGAGAAAAGGTTTTGAAAATCAAGTTTAGTTTGATGCCAAATATTCCAAGCTTCATCAAGCCAATTATTCAATTTTTGATGAAATATTACTATACCGTCTTTTTCTTCTTTTAATATATCCGATAGAAATTCTTTGATCTTTAAAAAAACAAAAGAAAAAAAAATAACTGTTTTTTGTTAAATTTGATAAAATCGAAATACCTGTTTAGGTTTTTCTTGAATAAATTTAGATGATTTTTCCAGGATATTCGAACTTATTTCTTTAGCAGAATCGGCCTGATTGTTTCCTTTTTGTTTGAATACTGCTTCACCGGGAGAAATCTATTATATTTATTTATTTATTTTTTTTTAAATATAAATAAAATGTTGATAATTTTAGACATTTACTTTATTTCGTAAATATACAGTTGATTTTTCGTCTGTGCTTATGTCTTGATTTGCGTGATTAATTAAATATGAATGATCATCTTCAACATTAGATTCAATTTCTGAGTCTTTTCCAAGAGAAGAAGACAACTATAAATAACACATTCAAATGTTTTTTTTTTTAATGAAATATTAGTGGTATAACCGAATAAAAAAATGGGCGGAGGTGAAGAGCCTTCTGATAATACTTCTAAATTAAGCTCAAACATCTTTTTAATCGAACTTCAATAGATTGTAGAGACAACTCAAAGCTTTCTTTAGGGGACTGTATGTATATTCTACTAGCCCCATCTAGTTAGATTGCTATGACATATGCATTTACAAACCTCGATGTCAAGATTAATCATCTGTTTTCCGTCGGGAGTTTTTCCATTTTCATTTGTTTTTATTCCACCATTAATTGAATTATGTTCTTCTCGTTTCCTGTCATTTAATTCTCTTTTAATTTTTTTCAAATCATTTGTAAAAGCATTATCTTGTACAGTAGTTCCAACAATTTTTTGCTCAGACAATTTTATTACTGCTTCCTTGAAAAGAACTGGAGTCTAAAGAACAAAAAGAAACCGACAACTTTAGAATTGATTTTTTTTCTTCTTTGCTTACCGAGGATAATTTCCGTTGTTCTTGTATGGATGCAGTTGTAGGTAAAAGAATTAATACAGATTGTAAAAGAAGAAGAGTGATGAATGTAAACATAAATGAATAACGTTTTATTAATTTGTAACGTTTTCCAAGATGTATTTCAATATTTTTATGTGAAAATTTAGCAATAAAAAAAGATAAGATTGAACAAAATCCAATGAAGAAAAATAATATATTATAATTGGTTGTTTTAGGTAATAATAGTTGAATAAATTTTGATAGAAGCAAAATAATAATTGAGAATATTTGAAATAATAAACGGAATATTAATTTAAGAAGAAAATTAAATAAAAGAAGTAATTGAAAAATAAAATATAATATAACAGAAACTCCAACAAAACGAAAAAAGAATTGACGCATAGAATGAACACGTTGTTCTGTAAAATATTTTTTTTTTTGAATATAAGATACATAACCGGTTACTTTATTAGATAATGGAGTAGTTAAAAATGAATCTGATGTTGAAGATGACATTAGAATTTTATTTCAATTCGTAAAATTCCTAAACAGAAAATAATATATGTTCAAATAAATTTACTATAATAAGTAATCATAATATCTTTTTTTATATGTCATTATATCGCTTAATATTTTCATCAAGAAAAAAAAAAAGAATGAAAATAATCCTACGTTATTGATAGAAAGTATCTTATTTCACTATGAATCATTATAATAAATTGTTATTATTTATGTATCTATACTTCTTTATAAAATTGAACTCCAACAACAACAAATGTCTTTAGAATACAACACAATTGCTTTTTGTCTTCTCTCAAAACGTCCTTTGACTAGTGCGCGCGCGTTAAAAGAAAATACGTTCGTGTGCGTGTAATAGCGTAACGACCATTAAAAAACCACCAAAAGAAAAAGAACGAAAAAAAAAGAGACTCGACGGTTGCTACCATTGCCTTTCCTTCGACAGACCTTCATCTATTCAAAACATACAGAAAAAAAAAATATGTTACCATGCTCTTTCTATTGTAAACGTTTTCTTTTTTTTAATAAAAAACACATTTTTTTTCAGTATACAACAATCAATATATTATTATATATACTTACTGTAAATTCGCTTAATTTGATCATTATGTTATTACTTATATTTCATTCATTTTATAGAAATAACGTGATATTTGACAATGAAACTTAAGTAAATCTTGGTTCCATGTTGGTTTTAAATTAGTCAACAATATTGTTTTCTTTCCTATTCTTCAAATAGTTGAGCTCAATAAATAAATATAATCGATACTTCTAACCTTCACCAAAAGAAAAAATGCGTCTATATATATATATCACACAACTATTGCATTAAAATCAATACCTGAGATGTTATGTACAAAATTTTTTTTGTTTTTTAGATTCGAAACGGAAAATTTAAATTGCTTTTATAACAGTTTAGAAAAAAAGAACGTATTGTTTTTCTTTCATTACTATTCTAAACATTGCTTGCGGTTAATAGTGATCAAAGAAATCATGCCTATGTATTCATCCAAGATGTTACTTTCCTTTGATAAATTGCATTTATTTTATAATCATTTCTAATCTCTCTTAAGATAAAATATCTGATAGATTTCAGAATTAACAGTGAAGTAATAACTTACAATTTCATAATCCATTTTATATGTTTGTAGATGATGATGAATTCAGTAATCTCTGAAATGTTTCTAGATAATTTTCTTCTAATGTTTCTATCATAAATATGAGTGCCTCCAACGACTACATACGAAACTTAGAAAATTTCCTTAATTAAATATAAAATAGATTGATATTCTAAACAGAGTCCTAATTTACCATTTCTGACATTTTGTTAGCAAAATGTCAGTCGAGCGTGGTATATGTAGCAATAACAGAATGCTTTGATGTTCTTACCAGTGATAGAAGTCATCGAGTTCTATAATCCAATGTATGTAACAATTTTGACTCATGCAAAAAATTAATCACTTACAATCAAAACGAAATCATCTTTTTTCATACTATTCATAGGAAATGTTTGAAAAGGTTTGTACATTATCCATGAATTATTCTTTCTAGACTGCTTAATACTTTCTTTCTTGACTGTTTTTTGTTGTTGTTGTCAGCGATAAGATAATACACAATTACTAAGCCAAACCCTCGACACTTTTATTGTTATCAAAACAATGGATATATATAGAGAGAGAGGGGTAAGTTCTATACAAAAATAGTATAAAGCAAGAAATAGTTCTAGACTATGACTACGAAACGTTGGTTTACACAAAAAATCAGTCTGGCATTCGTAATCAGCACGTAAAAATCACATAAACTAATATCTTTCTACCGTAAAATATTTCTAATCAGACTTTCATGCGTAGGAAACCAGAGGGTAAAATGATCGAGGTAAATAGTTGAGAACAGAAATATAATGAACTTTTCATAGGAAATATTTATCGTTATAGTTTTGTATGTTGATTGCGAATAGAAGGCTAACTTATTTTTTTTTAATGAAAATCAATTTTTCACCGTTAAAATCAGAAAATATTTTCCATTTTATGCTATTTTGTATAAAACTTGCCCCTTTCTATACTTATCATCTCTTTTACTAACATTAAAAATAACGAAGACTTTGTTTAGTTATTGTATATTATGATACCACTGATAACAAAAAGCAACAGCTAGAAAAAGAAAATACCAATTAGTCAAGATACTATAATTCATAGATAATAAACTAATATCTTCTAACATATCTTATGAATGACAGGAAAAACATGATTTTGTTATTTAAAGTAAATGTATTTTCGCATGAATAAAAGTTGTTACATGCATCAGACAATAGAACTTTATGAACTCTATCATTGTTGAAAATAGCAAAGTATTTTGTTGTTATCGTATAAAACATACTCGACTGACATTTTGCTAAGAAAATGTCAAAACAAAAAAATAAAATGTGGCTTTCTTTAAACTATAAATATATATTATATTTCGTCAAGGAAAATTAAACTCACAAACATCTGCAATAAAGAAAAAAAAAGTTAGAAAATTCTAAGATATTATTCCATGTTCGATGCATTTAAGTGTTTGATTTTCTTAGACGCGTACTAGTCATATCCACTGTATATGTTCGATTCTTATTAGAAAACACATTTTTAAATTTAATCTTTTTACTTCAGTTAAAAATCAATATGATAGTAATAAGTGTCTTATCCAAACGAACTCAATGGTTTATATAGATTTTCATATTAATGAAGCGATATATTACATTAGAACAAAAATCAAAAGTAATACTTTTGTTAATTTCGTATGAATTAAAAGAAATAAAAAATAAAACATGATCTAATTTTATTGCACGAAACAAAAAAAAATTATCAATTTAAACTCAATGCTTTGATCATCAGCCATACATGTAGCATTAATAGTAAATTTTCTTTGATATCGTCTTAATTCATAAACAAGATTTGCTGTTATTCTTGTACTCGATGCTTCTAATGGATGACCAAGAGCATCACCATTAACATTACTTTTTTTTTTGCATTCAAGATCATATTTTTAAAATATATCTTCATTTGAAATAATAATTGCAGTAGTACGAGCACAAATTCCATTTGTATTACAAGCTATTACAATTCCAGTATCTTTTATAAGTATAAGTGATAATTTTGAAAATTGTTTCATAGTGCTTTGTGAACCTGGATGTTTATCTGTATCAAATATTTCATCTTGAATTTTTTTTACTTTTAATTTTTATTGATTCAATTTTATCTTTAAGTTAACCTTGATTATTTGCTTGTTGTCAACAGTTTTACGATTGTAAAACATATTCATCAGCTTCCTGACGAGTTATATTATTTTTGTTTTTTGATAAATTTTCCACTAGAATATGGTACTTGTAACATACTTTCAGTTCCACCACATAAAACAATATTTAAATCATCTAATTTTATTTCTTGTCCTTTATTTATAATCGATTGAAATCAGATCCACAACGACGATTAAAAGATAACGCTAGCATATAAATTGATACACTAGGAAGTAAGGCGACATAAGAAGCTAAATAAATTGCATATATTGATGTTTGAGATACATTACCAATGATAGTACTATTAATAGCATCAGGTGATGATTTTGCTTGTCTAGAAGCAGATCCATTAGGAATTTCTTATAATTGTATAGCTGTATAATTTTTTAATTTACCACTAAAAGTATCAAATAAAATACGACGGTTTGCCACAATATAAATAGCTCGCTTGAAAATCATCGTTTTTTTTTTACGTTGGTTTTACATAGATGTATGCGAGTATTATCATTGCCATTAACAAATAATGATTAACATTATTTATAATTTGTTGGTTGTTATTATCAAATCAAAAAGAAAGTAAAAGGTAAGAGCGAGTAATAGCGACCTCGAATATTTAAAATTAACTGATAATTTTTTTTTTTATGATAGTTTTGAATAGAAAATATGAGTGTTATTATTCTTGTATAATAGCGATTAATAAATTCAAATAGATTGGTTAGTTGAAATTATAGTATGTGTCATTTAGTTTTATTTACCATCTGTTTTGACTTGACGTTATATATTTGCATTATTTATATTCATCAGAAAAATCATTATATCATATTGTTTGCCAAAAGATTTATTATCAATAGCACGTCTGAATAAAGATATATTACTCACAATTATCATTTCCAAACTAAGCCCATAACAACAAGATTGATAGATATGTTTAATCGAATATATTCATCATATATTAGTATAAATAAAGATAAAAATCTTCTAGAATTTATATGTGGATGAAAAATATTTTATCAATTGTTTTTTCAGATATGTAATACATAATGTTTGGTATGTGTGTCAAACACTAAACTTAATCTATGTAGTTTAGACAATGATTATTCATTTGTTTTGACATATATTACACTAAAAATAGCTCGAAAAATCGACATGAATGATAATAATTATTTTGTTTTTTCTTTTTATCCAAAAATGATTAGATAAGCATCATTGTAGTTCTACATGTAGTAAAAAAATACATATTCAAAATAAATTACTAATTATATTACAGAAAATGTTTGCATTCTTTGATGATCATAAATAAGCTCCTATTTCTATGCTTCTCTCCATATATTGAATAAAGTAATCGATATTATACCTATGGATTTTGATTAAATTTGATTATATAAAAGATTATAAAGTATTAGAAATTTTAAAAAATGGGTCAGGAACAGTACTTCATAAGCACGGTCTATTCGAGACAGTCAAATTTTGAGTATTATCACATCTGTTGTTTTTTCTAAACGAGAAAAATTTTTTTTTCCCTTTGGTAGAACGCAAAAATAAATTTCTAGTTCCGCGGAAGAAAACAACAATAAAAATTTTCCACTAATGGGAAAACATTACACTTGTACCTCTCCGCCCACTCCAGTCTCCGATCCGTATAGTCCTATTGATAAGTAATTATTATTGCCTTAATCATATGTCAACAGAATAATAATCCTAATATACATTATCTAATATATATATATATATTTCATTCATATCTTAATTCAGCTCATGAATGAACCATATTTGTTATATTAAATAGAATATGAACAATTGCTTTTTGTTCTGCTATTAATAAGTAACTTTAAAATATTAGAAATGATTTCCCACGAGTCCGAGTTGAAAAAATGTTTAACAGTTAACAACATGGTCACAAGAGACTATTATTAAATTGACTCACGAAATCTTTTTTCTAAATATAATCATAAAAGGTGTTGAATTGAAAATATTAGATTGGAATAAAAAATATCTATTGCTTAATTTTTTTTCTGTTTTTTAGTAAACTCGTACACAGATAACATTGTGTATTTCATTAATACAATGAAAAAAAAAAAAAACCTTAATCAATAACGATGGATTAGCACAGGTTTATCACAAGAAAAAAAACAAATAATGAAATAAAATTGAATGTTTTTTTTCTTTGAAATTATCATAATTTAAGTTTTTTAGCTTGTTCCCATGGAAATTCTGATCGACCAAAATGTCCATAACATGCTGTCTTTTTGTAAATCGGACTTTTTAAATTAAGATCCCTATGAAAAACAAATTATTGATTAAAAATAAAAAATATTAAATATATAAATAACATACCGAATGATAATACCTGGACGAAGATCAAAATTGTTTTGAACTATTTCAAGTAATTCTTTATCCGTTTTTGATGAAGTACCATAAGAAAAAACAGCAACGGATAATGGTTCAGCAATAGCTATACTATAAGATACTTGAACAAGACAACGACGACAAAGTTTTGCTTCAACAAGTGATTTAGCGACCCAACGAGCAGCATAAGCACCTGAACGATCAACTTTCGATGGATCTTTTCCACTGAAAGCACCCCCACCATGAGCACCCCATCCACCATATGTATCAACAATAATTTTTCTGCCAGTTAAACCAGCATCACCTTGTGGACCACCGATTTCAAATTTACCCGATGGATTTAAATAATAAACTGTTTTATCATCAAGTAATTCTTTTGGTACAACTGGTTTAATAACTTTATTAAGAAGATCATCTCGTAATTTTTCTTGTGTTACTTGTGGACTATGTTGAGTTGATATAACAATTGTATGCACACGTTGAGGAATACATGCACCTTTATGAAATTTATATTCAACAGTAACCTAAAGAAAAAAAACGTTTTATTGATGATAATAATGATCTTTTCTTTTTTTTTTTTTTACTTGAGTTTTTGAATCTGGTCGAAGATAATCTAATTGACCGTTGCGTCTTAATTCAGCCATTTTAGCATTAAGATGATGAGAAAGTACGACAGTTAATGGCATACATTCTTCTGTTTCATCAGTTGCATAACCAAACATTAAACCTTGATCACCAGCACCAATATCTTCATCACTTCGTTTTTCATGAACGGCTTGAGCTATGTCAGGTGATTGTTGTTCAAGTGCAACAAGAACATTCATTGTTTTATAATCAAAACCTTTCTCTGACGAATCCCAACCTATATCACGAACTGTATCACGAACTACTTGTTGATAATCAACACGGGCTCGTGTTGTTATTTCACCGCATACTAAGACCATACCAGTTTTCGTACATGATTCTAGAAAAAAATGACAAAGTATCAAAAGAAAAAGATTGCTAATCTATAAATTAGAAAATTTACCACAGGCAACTTTGGAACTTGGATCTTGACTTAAACAAGCATCGAGTATAGCATCGCTAACTTGATCACAGATTTTATCTATTTAATAGAAATAAAATTCATTTTTATTCTTTTATTTATTTGATAAAAATTTATTGTGAAATTAATTATTTCTATATCAATATATGTATATAGAAAAAATCAATCATTTTAATTTCTTCATTTCATTTAAATTAATTTTTAATCACATTTAATTACTTACCAGGATGTCCTTCACCGACTGATTCTGATGTAAAAAGAAACATTTCACCGTGTGCATTGTCCGATTCCATGTTGAGGGCTTAGATGGGATGTGTATGTCGTCTGAAAAATTTAAAAACGAATGACTATACTAAACCTGTTTCTCATCATCTAATAAACGTTTTTTATGCTTGTGTTGCATTTTTTTTCTCTTATCAAACTGCGTCGTTGTCAAAGTATTAAAAAAAGGCAAGTACGATGTACTAATAAGACGAACACTTCTATTTTCTTTGCTTTGCTTTTATGAGAATAAAGCTCACACGCATATACAGCCACACATATAGTATGAGAGAGAAACACACGTCAAGGACAAGGTGCAAGTGATAATCAGAAAAAGAATATCGTCAAAATGGTTTCAGAATAACAAAAATGATAAAAGGACAATAGTATTATACTTGTTGTTTTTATCATACTCATTTTTTTCTATATCGTGCTTTGGTACATATTTCAAAGGGCAATATAAAAACGGACACATAGATTTCGAAGTGAATGTTGAGAATCAAAAGCAGAAAGAGCGTTGAATGTTGCTAGACCTGCTAAGCCATGTATCATGTCAAATAATTCACTTGAAGTGCATATCGAAATGCAGATACTTTAAAAATATAGTGCAATTCATGTTGCTCTTGCATATAAGGAAATAAAAACGAGACCAGTACAGGCATGGTTGTGTTTTTCTTTCTTTCTTCCTCTATCTTTCTTTATCACATAAACATACTTGCCTTATTTTCAAGACCTAATAAGACGAAAAAAAAATGAAACAAAGAACGAATGGATAATGATGGTAATAAAAGTATCTCTAGTATATATATTATTACAAAGAGAATTTATTATTAATTATCATAAATTCATTTTATTGTATAATTATATATAAATATTAATGAAAAACTGAAGAATTATTTTATCAGAATCTGTCAATGATTATTGAAAAAAATAGATCAAATATATTTGATGGATTAGATGAAATATAGAATGCATGCATATACCCATACACGCTAAGTATGACTTGATATTAACGACGTAATTCAATAGTCTACTTAATAAAAGTTGATTATCTTTTTTCTTAAAAATATTCATAATAGTTTTGTATATGAATTGAGATGTAGCAATAACTAAATGTAACCTTGAAGTGTAAAATATGTCCTTTAGAATTTTTAGATTATTTTAAATTTTGATATGAATATCATTGATAACATATTTTTTTTATCGTTCATTCTCGAAAAAGAAACTAATCTCAATAATACGAAAAGTGTTTATGTACGAAAAGAAAAACATATTAATATAATTCATTGTATCTATCCTTTTAGTTTATATATTATTATATTGATTTTGATTTTCATGTTTTATGGGTCGTACGAAAAAATATTTTACAACAACTTCATTGATAAAAATTTTTATCGTAAATCTTTTAAGATTACACATAAGATAATGAGAGTGAACTTATTATTTAGGTAGTTTTCTTTTTTGTTTCTTGTAAAATGCTGATGACTACTATTTATTCTTTTTTTAACACACTGGGCAAGTCCATGATGGGAAAAAACCAAGCAATATATATAAGTTGTGGTTAAAATTAAAATTCAGTCAGATTTAAAATTTGCTTAGTTAGAATTGAAATTTTATTTTCGTCTAATGTAATTTCAGTCAAAATTAAAATTTTGACTGAAAAATATTAAAATTTGTTTTGATGAAGAGAAAAAGGTAAGATAAAAAATTAAAAGTAAAAGCACAAGTAACTTTTTTTAATTTTATCATAGTTTTAAACATATATCCTATGAGTTCTAAATTAATTTAGTCCATAGTTGAACATTCACTCCTCTTGGAATGACATTTGGTAAAGCAGAAAACGTATTTTTTCCTTAGGTGTGTCTTTGTCGCAAATTTCCTTGACAATTATATGTTCAGCTATTGAACGACGAGAATCAAGTGTTCAAACCTCAATAATGATAGCTGAGTTTAGATTATTAACATCTACATATATGTTTCACTTCATTGGAATAAGCATCTTTTAAGTTCACAAATTGTTCAACTTCAAATGTATTCTTTCAAGCTCCCATATTGACAAATTAATTTACATTAAAAAAAAATATTTTTTTCAGTTTCTTTGGAAATAATAACTGGATTCTAAGGTTAATTTTCGTGAGTCTGCAGCCGAATATACAGGGTGTCTCAAAAGGCCCTTTCACTTAAATTTTTCGTATATCTTTGCTATTTAATTTGACTTTATCAACTAATATTTTTTTTAAATGATAGGTGGATACACCGAATTTTTATTTATAAGAACAAACTTCAGAAGTACTGTTCAAAGCTAAGACCTTTAACAGAAACACAATAAAGTCAAATTAAATAGCAAAGATATACGAAAAAATTTAAGTGGAAAGGACTTTTGAAACACCCTATACTTGTAATTGTCAAGAAAATATGCGGCAAAGACACACCTAAGGAAAAAATACGTTTTCTGCTTTGCCAAATGTCATTTCGAGAGGAGTGAATGTTCAAATATGGACTAAATTAATGTAGAACTCATAGGATATATGTTAAAAACTATTGTAAAATTAAAAAAAATTGCTTGTACTTTTATTTTTAATTTTTTATCTTACCTTTTTCTCTTCGTCACAACAAATTTTAATATTGTCCAGTCAAAATTTTAATTTTAATTTTGACTGAAATTATATTCGACGAAAATAATATTTCAATTTTGCCTAGACGAAATTAAAATTTCAATTCTGACTAGGCAAAGTATAAACTTGACTGAATTTTAATTTTAACCACAACATATATATGTATGTATACTGTATGAAAATCAATTCCTTATAGTCATTTAAAAAACAAAACAAGTTTACAATCAAAATGTCAATTATCGATTGGCAAACTTTATTTGATGATATATTTGATGGTTATCCTGATAAGTGGACATTAAGTTGTGTTCATAGAAGTGATAAACGTCAAAATAAAAAACTTGAAAATCAACGTAAAATGGAAAAAACTGGATATGCCAGGTATATCATTTGATTCTATTTTATTGATATAAATACTTTGTTTTCGTAGATTTCATTGTCCAAAATGTTCAAATGGTTGGGCATCAGCTAAAGCTAAAGTAGTTTTATATTATCCTAATGCTAATGAACCAGTTGGAAGAGTCAGTATACGATTTTTTGGACAACAATGTAAAAAATGTTGTCGTAATGCGACTTATTTTGCTGATCCAGAATTTGAGGACGATTGGATTAAACCAACTCTAGAAAAACTTTATGAAAGAATTGGATGGAATTGTTATCATCAAAAACGACCAACAAAACCAATATACAACGATCGAAAAGTAACCAACATTGAAGGTCCTCATGAAAAAGCATTGTGTGAAGCTTGTCAATTAGGTTGTTGTAATCAAACAGCAATAAAAAAGAATCATTAAACTTTTATTATCATCATATTATTTTCTATCTTTATGTATATATTAATAAATACTTTGAAATAAATAGAATCAACTGATATTTTATATTTCGGTTTCATTCATATTCTAAATGATACATAATGACTACGAACTTTTCACTTTTTGTATATCTTCGTTAATTAACCATATTGTATATTTTAAGTTATAATTCGAAAACGTGCGTTTCTCTATTTCTCCATTACAAATCATAGTAACCAGGATTAGATGTCATGGAATACGTTTCCATAGTAACCATAAGTATAAATCAGCCATTTTAGCAGCATTCTCAATGGTAGTTACGCATGCAAAAATAAGAGATTTCCATAGGGAACAATACTAGTTGGAATTTTAAGTTCAAAGAGAGAAGCACACAAAATAAAAGTATTAAGGTATTGATATTTGCACTAATAATAGTGAAGCAATATGTTTTTACTTATCGCAGTAAGTATTTCAGTATCTATCTATCATTGTTTCAACTTATGAAAAATATCAATTATTAGTTCATCTATTTTGACTGTTGTCGTATATTTTTCTTCATCATATCATAAAAACAATAGTGGGGCTACATGATGAAAAAGCAAATGAGTACTTTATCATTCATAAACTAATTAATGATCGATCTAGTTTTTAGACATTAAAGAATCTATAAAAATCTAATGATATAGAAAATAATTTTTAAAAAACATTTTTATATTTTATCAGTAGAGTTAATTACTATTAACAGAGCAAATAAATCTTTGATTGTTTCGTTTCATTTGTTGCAAACTTTGAAGTGTATTTCATTACATACAGAAAGTTTATACTAAATTATCTGCTAGCTTATACGGAATATATGAATGCCATATTTCAGTGTCAGAGGGGAGAGATTAGAAGGTTTGCAGCAGTGAACCAATCATGTAAACTAAAGTCAATGGGATTACTTCATGTAGAAGTTATGATCGAACGAAACGAACGTTCCATGTTTTTATAAAACTCCAACCAATGTTTTTCTCGTTTGTTCAACTCAATTGAAACATAAGTAGACCGCTATGTAGTGCCGAGGTATAAAACTATGTCACAATTCCTTACTAATTGGTTCATTTGTTTTTCATGCTAATATTTGATTAATTTTTACTGAAATATTCGAGAGATATTTTCGTGAACAAACAATTTATCAATGATTTTAGCAAATGAACAGTTTATTTCAAAAATGATCAATCCAAATCGATTCAAACCATGAATTAAATCAATTAGATTGATTTAATTTGATAAAAAGTTTCTTTCAGTGTCCAAAATATTGAATTCATGAGTTTAAATGAATCGATTGCCTGTTTTTACTTGTATTGTTCAATTTGAAGTTTTAATATTCATACTGAATAATCGAATGAGAACTTATGATGAAAGAAACAAAATTCTCATAGAAGTTATACATCAAATGAGTTTAGAATTTAGTTGAAATTGTAATTTTATAATAAAAAATATTATGATGTTTATTGTTAATATGGTTTAATCTTATTTTGAAGTTTACTTAATAATAAATGTCATGGCAACGAAAAATGGTAAAAATGGTTTTTTTTTCTTCTTCTATTGAATAATCATTATGTCAGAAAGAGAGAGAGAGAGAGATGTGAACCGCTTTTCTCCCTGAAGATACTATTTATTTCAGAATATTGTGTTTACCATGTTGTAAAAAATAAAAATTTTCATAACATACAAAATTCAGCTTGGAATTCTTTAATTCTGACAGGAGATAGATTGTTATTAAATGGACATTGTAGACTAATTGAAAAGAACGATTTTTCAATTATGTTGGCCTCATAAAACTTGAGTTGACCAATATTATCCAAAGTTGAAGTAGCTCATTTTATTCAGTTTTTAATACTTTATCTTTTACTATAATTTATAAAATATTTGAATGATTTAATGAAAATAGGAAACAACTTTTACAGTCCAGATCAAATAAAGTACAATCGTTTCAGATGATTTTTTTCGTCGTTTGATATGCGCAGTATTACAAGCAGATTTCATTGTATTATAAATGGTTCGATAATCGATTTTCAAATTGTTTGACGATTGTTATCAACTGTGTACATCATAATAAAATATGATCATAATACTTCGCCAACCAAACGTCAATTTACAGCAATTTACAACTCTAAGTTGTATAAAAATGACTTATATAGAGTAATGTTTTTGGCTGTCTCAACGACTGTAATCAATTTTTGTAGATTAACTCTCATTCATCGAATATCAAATTCAGAATCGATTAAAAAAATTCAACATGTAATTTAGAATTTCAATAAAGATTTATTCTAATCTTTTACATTTTTCTTGCGAAAAAAAAACAAAGATTCTAAAGAATCTAATTGATTTCAACTTTAATTAACGAATGAATAAGTTCAGATTGTTATGATATATCACTGCTATCTAAATATGAAAGAAGGGATGATCACAACACGAATGAATTGTTTTCGGAATAAGTAAATAAATAAAAATAATATTCAATATTGTTTATTCGCATGAAATCTATGCAACAAACAAAATCATATAACTGAGAGATTAAATCAAGTTTGTATATTATCTACTATTTATTATCTTTCACAAATGAGATGAATTACAAAAAAGAAAAAGAGATCTTAATTATATTAGCTCAAAGAAGTCTTAATTAGTCTTATCTAAAAAATCAAAGAAGAATTCTAAGAACACTGATAATCTACAAAGAATAAAAACGGCCAGTATTTTGTTTTATTTTTTAATAATTTGAACAAAAACAAAACAACGACAGTGAACGTGTACTTAATGTATGTTTACATTGTATATACTCAGAAAAACAGTGAAGAAAAAAAAATGAAATGAATATATGTAAGACACAACTAAAAGATACAACCTTTAGTTCGTTATATTAGTAAAAACAAAAAACAAAACGTATAAATTGGCCTAAAAAAAAAACGAGCATGTTTTATATTTATAAAATGTCATAAATTTTATTTCTTTTGTTGCAATGAACTTGCTAACCAATCCATAGCGTCATTTAATCCAGTACCTTTAATAGCTGACGTTTTAAATATTTGATATTTATGATATTTTAATGATGTTAAACCAAGTGCATTGGCTACTTCACTTGTATTCATACAACCTTCAAGATCTTGTTTATTAGCGAGTATACATAAAACAGCATTTTTAAGTTCATCTTCTTCTAGCATTGATATCAGTTCATGTTTTGATATACCAATACGATCACGATCCATGGAATCAATAACATATATAATTGCGTCTGTATTTGAATAATAACAACGCCAATAAGGACGAATTGATGTTTGACCACCTGTATAAAATGAAAAATATTTTTAAAAAAAGAAAAAAAGTTTTTTAATACTAGCTATTTACCAAGATCCCAAACTTGAAATTTTAAATTTTTATATTGTACTGTTTCAACATTGAAACCAATTGTTGGAATGGTTGTAACAACTTCACTGACTTGAAGACGATAAAGTATTGTTGTTTTACCTGCTCCATCAAGACCCAATATCAGTATACGTCGTTCTTTATTACCAAATAAGCCAGAAAAATAACTTAATAAATTACCCATCTATATACTTTTGAAATTATAATTAAAATTGAAATAAATGTGACTAATGTTTGATGATTAACATCTAAAAACGATTGCATAAGGAAGTCTTTGTCAAATATTTAAATTCATCAAAAAATAAAAACATTTTCCATACTTTCAATTTTATGTAAAGAAATATTTACCTTACACGTCGTCAGTCAATGATTGTTGCGCTACACCATCATCATTGTAATTTTTGATTGGTTTCGCTTGAGTTGATAAGTACGAATAAAAACTGCATTTCATATCAAAATGTTTTTTTTCTTTTTTTGATTTAACTAGGTTTGACAGAGAGGGCGCTAGTTTCCGATTGAAACTAACTTTGATTTCATTTCTTCAGTTAGAATCACAATTATTTATTAACATAGCAGTAGATCCAGAATTTTCGTAAAGAGAAGTGATCATGATAACAAAATGTGTCTTGGATTCCATAGAGGCTGTATTGGCTCTTTTTTGCTGAGAAAAATATTTCTGAATTCAGGGAGAGTCATCTCGAGTTTCTCCCTCTAGATCCACTATTGTACTTGCTAAGGACTGCGACAGTGCGAGAGCAATCTTCAACAGTTATTATGTACTAATAGAGTCCAGGAAGACAAACTTTTTCGTGTCGTGAATCTAGAGCTTCGTATTGAACTCCAATGCAATCGAAATCACTAGAACAATTTTTTTCGGAGTCGGAGAAAAAAAGCATAACTTCGCAGATCTCTAAAAGTCGTTCCGAAAATTAATCATACAGATTTTGGATTTTTTTCTGTAATGGTCACTCCCATAAAGGGCTTAAATCGAATAGTGGCTTGAACAGAGAATATCATTTCCAACGAGGATTTGAGGGAAATAAAGGTGTGTCTGTATTCTCAAAATTCAGAATCTCTCGAAAGCTCAAAATCCTAGTTTTTTAGTACCCAAAACTTGAAATAAAAGGCGTTTTTGATTATATGGGATGACAGAGTAACTGATTCTCTGCAAAATGATATGTCTTCGAGCTCTTCATGACATCTTTTGAATGAACCACATAGATATTAAGAAACTTTCAAAGGTAGTTTTTTCCCCGATTTTCTAAGGGAAAAACTGAACAAAAGAACTTCTGAATTTTTCTGAAAACTCATGTAATTCAGTTGAACAGCGTCGTGGAGAGCTCGGAGATGGGTCATTTTATAGACAACTAGTTGTTCTTTTGTCCTATTTAATCAAAAGAACCTTTTATTTTCAGGTTCTGGGTGCTGAAAAACTAGGTTTAGAGTTTTCCAGAGCTCATGTGTTTTGAGAATACTATGACGGCTTTTTGCTCTTAAACTCTTATTGAAAACAAGTTTCTCTTTTCAAGGCACTACTTGGATTGTTTATGCTAGTTAACATTACAGAAAAAAAAAAACAAATTAAATCCGTATGATTAATTTGTGAAGTCACTGTATATGCGGTCAAAACAATTTTTCATTTTTTTCGAAGTCGAAGGCGGAAAAATTTGATTCCGCAGGATCATAATAGCCAAATCCTGTTTGTTCCCTTGATTGTAATGTGGCCGGTTGACTGCAAAAAGTGCAGTAGCCGAGTTATTGTTTTTCACTTGCATAGTTGCCATAACAAATTCTTCTTCTTCTTCTTCTCGGCGCATTAGTCACGGCTTGAGTCAGTCATTCACTCGTTCTTCACATCTAACCATCCTTTCGGAATAAGAAAAAGTTTGCCGAGATCGTAAGAATGTGCGAGTGCATATCTGAAATTCGTTTTCTAAAACCTCGATTCGGTTCGGAAACTATAAGTAACCGAAAACTGATAATCAACAGCTGAGTGTTTACTGACATGGTCATATATGACTCAATCTGAAAAATACCATTACCATTTCCGATGCTATATACCACAGTTCTCTTATATGACAGTAATTGATTCAAATTCATTATGGTTTTCTCTATGGAAGTCTAAGATTTCGAATAGTAGGTGTCATATAGAATCGCGTTCTGACATTTCTCGAGTTCATTCCGTGAGTTGCTTTGTTTACTCGAACTCAGCTCAAATGGCACTCTAGTGCTTTTTCTGTTAGTTTTTTAAAGATTAACATACTGGTTAGAAATAAAAAATAAAAAGTTTACAATACGTTTTTTTGAGGATTCAGGACGGTCCCGTACAACTCTACATAGTGGTAATGATGCTAGAATTCCAGACACAATTCATTCGATGGTATATAGTTATTACGTTTTGACAAACATTTACCTGTTACAGCAGTGTTTTGCAGACAATATGCTGGAGATAAATCTTGTCCAGTGTAACTCGAGTCTGTTGGGATCGTTTTTAATAGCTGTTAATATTAGTAATGATATTTCGAGGACAAAAAAAAACGGCATAAATAAGACACTATACGGTTCTAAAACCACATATCATTACCCGTCGGAAACGATCTTAAATGGTGTCGTTTACATTTCAAGGAAAGACAGTCCATAATCCAAGCTGACAAAAACCATCAAAAAAACGATAGAAAACAGCAATCATTCAAGGTAGTAGTCACGTTGTTTCTTCATCATTTAGGCAGTATAAGACATCGTGTCTTCTTGTTCGAATCCGATCAGTCATCTGCGTTATTGTTCTAATTGATTGTGCTGAATGCAGACTCTTGCGTTAGATCGAATGGTGCCGAGTTCAGAGAGTGTCATAGGGGAAAGAATGAAATCCAATAGAAGATACTCTCAAGAAGCCGACGTGGGAATTAATTGGATTAAAAACAACAGAAAGATGTTCTAGAAGAAGACAAGAAGCACACTAACATTAAAGATTTGCTCTGAAGAATCACATAGCCTTTTATCAAATATGTTGGATTACGAAAAAGTTTGAAAAAATTCTAAAGCACATGATATGAACCGCATATGATGGGAGGTCTACAATTCGTTTAATTATTTCCCGTTCAGTGAAGAAAGAGTAATTATTGTGTTTGATTTTATAGTATTGCTTGGAACTGTGTTAATGGAATTGCTCGTTCATCGTGAAAGTTTCGCGACGTTCTCTAATTAATAACGTAGGTGATTAGATTTTTTATTTACGATGATGATTTTGACCGCAATACTGATTACGAGCACGGTTTTCCAAATACAACCATGATTATGAACGACATCTTGACCATTTTAAAGGACTTTTCAGTATATCGTAGGACGGGATACGAAACGCGATAATTGCTGATTATTGTGAGAGTGTGGGGATTAATAAAAAAAATATGTCCTTTCTTTTTTTTAGGAGTATTTCTGTTGAAATTGTAAGACGTATCTGTGACTTAGAATGGGAATCTCACGAGAAAAAAATGTGTGAGTGTACCTATACGGCACTAGTACAATTCGTCGCGATCAATTCGTCGCAAAACAATTCGTCGCACATGTATTGTAGAGAATACATTGATTGAATGAGCCTTATTCCGAATTCGCTTATATATAAGCGAATTCGGAATAAGGCTCATTAAGTAATTTAGTTTAAAATGTTATACAATTAATCGCCTTAAAAAAAAAATTTTGTTTAGACTCATAAGAATCTTTTTTCATAATACAATGATTTTGTCAAAAATAAAATAGAGATATCAATTTAAAGCCTATTTTAAAATTTAATTAAAAAAATTGAAGTTTGATTTTGGATAAAATTCTATGAACACAAATTAAAAATAAAGTTCATTTTTTTCAATTGAAATTTAACATCTTATTTAAAACGAAGCTGAAAATTAAAACAAAAATATAAAATTGAAAAAAAAAATTGTTGTTCTTGTATTTATTATCTATCTGCTGTTGCTGCTTTTCTTGTAAAGTTACCACTATTGTTCTGATTTCACCTAGAAGTAACTTTGGTGCTCATTTATCTTATTTTTTTAGTGCTCTTTTCATCACATATAACTAATTAAGTGCTTAATTGTCTTATTTTGTGGTGCTCAAAACACACCTCGTCCTCTTTTTATTCCATGTGTTTACTTATGTAATGTTTGCTATTGTTCGAATGTCTTGTATACAAACATTTCCTCGGAAAGTTTTCTGTTTGTCTATCGATTAACATTCACAAAAGTATAATTTCTGTTCCTTATATTAAGTATCTATCAATAAAGATTCAATCAGCTTTTATATGATAAATATTATCTTTCCTTTCTTTGAACGTGATTCCTTCATTTTCTTATGAATAAGAGCAATGACTACTGGACAAAATAATATGAGACATAGACCAAAAAGAGAAACATACGTCAATTCGATGGACTATTTATTCAAACTAGATTTTTTTTTTCACCGAGAGGTCATCCATTCATTTTATTCAATCATCGGAACGGACACAAACAAACAAAGAACATATATCTATATATAGACATGCATAATAAGAAAAGCATTAGTCAAACTCAATATGAATCAATCTAACCTTCATCTTCTTGATTTACCTAACAGAGCCCGAAAACGAACCGAACTCGAACCGAACTAAGACGGTTCGGTTCGGTTCGAGTCGAACCGAACCGATCTCGATCCGGTTTTTTAAAATTTAGTCGAACCAAACCGAACCCAAACCGCTCTTTCAAAAACGTAGACGAATCGAACCGAACCCGAACCGCCCTTTTTAAAACAGAATCGAACCGAACCGAACTCGAACCACTTCTTAAAAAGCGACGTTAAACTGAACTGACCCTAACTAATTTTTGAAAAGCGAATAAATCTGGACAAGTACATAAGNATTGGCAACAAACTTTGAAGACATTAATAATTGTAGAAAGGTAAAATAAAAATAGTCAAGATAAGGTATTTTGTAAGGAACTTACGAAAAACAAATTTATTTTCATATAAAAACCAGACATAATTTTTTTTCAAGGATACCATAAGAAAGAGCGTCAAATTCTACACCAACTAGCTTACATATTTTTACGAAAGCTTATTTTTACACGCCCGGGAACTTAGTCTCAAAAAGGAGACAAATCAGTCTTATTATGCCCAAAAATAATATGCTAGTGATATCACGAAATAACATGTTTCAACAATTTTTGAAGTAAAATGTCTGAGAGGGTTCATTTGAGAGACAGTAATAGCAACAGCGCAAAGTTTTAACAAGATAAGATTTTTTTTTCTCAGACATTTTACTTCAAAAATTGTTGAAACATGTTATTTCGTGATATCACTAGCATATTATTTTTGGGCATAATAAGACTGATTTGTCTCTTTTTTGAGACTAAGTTCCCGGGTGTTTCGACATAAGCTTTCATAAAAAGAAGTAAGCTAGTTGGTGTAGAATTTGACGCTCTTTCTTATGGTATCCTTGAAAAAAAATTATGTCTGGTTTTTATATGAAAATAAATTTGTTTTTCGTAAGTTCCTTACAAAATACCTTATCTTGACTATTTTTATTTTACCTTTCTACAATTATTAATGTCTTCAAAGTTTGTTGCCAATAAATATGTGGACTATACAACTTTTAATGCTCTATCTAATGGTATAGTTTTAATCTAGTTTTATTACATTAAACAAGTGGAGACCTTTTTTTTTAGCTAAAATAGGGTTATTGTGGGGTATAGGTTTTCCACCCTTTAGTTTCTTCGACCATAAAAAAGTTAAAGTATAGCTTATATAAGTCTATATTTTTTTTCAGTAGATAACTAATTATCTCCTCTTTCGAATAGATACTGACAAGATTTTTTTTGACTTAAACTAATGAATATTAAGGCAATACTTTTATACTGCTGAGAGGGGGGTCCTATAATTATGCAAGCAGTGAAATTCAAAATTTCTTGAATCTAAATATTATAAATATTTAATGAAATACAGATCAATATAGCACATGATAGATGCTTTAGTGGTGTCTATATATATGACACTAGATCCCTTATCAAAGCTTCCGTAGTCGGTAAAAACTTTATTATTCTGAAACTTGTAGGGGGTCCTATAATTTTGGGAACCCCTGTAATATCACTAAATAAGAATATTTAATTTCAGGTTTTTAAAAAACCACTTTACACTCGCGCAGTCACTCTTGAACAGGATTCCGAATGCATTCTACAGTAGCAAGCCCTATTCTGCTAGGAGAAACCTACCAAAATAGAACTTGTGTATGCAGCCTGCATGCTTTCTATTAGGATTCCTATTTTTAAGTATAATAAACTGNAGTTCTCTATCGATTGATGAAAATCGCAGATCGCTAGCTTGTCGTGTTCTCGAGTTATTCAAAAAATACTGGAGCGCACTATATTTTGAAACGGATATTAGAAATTCTGGTGTAAGAAAGAAATTTTCTGCTCATATTCGCTTCTCACAGTAGAATTAATTAGAAAGGTTAAGACTTCTAGAATGAACAAGTTCTATTGAAAATGTTATTTATCTGAAGTTTCAATTCGAAATTTACCCTTCAAAGTGACTATGATAATTTCTTAGAAATCTTACGAGTAACAGAGGTTAGATAAACACCAAGCGCGAAGCATAATTAGATAAAATTAAAAAAATTATGAGCGAAATTACGTTTAGAGATTGTTTTTGATCCTTTTTTCTGTCTATTCTACTCCTTCACAGATCATGCAAGACGTTCTTCATAAACTTCCTATGCTTAGCAACAAGAGCTACATCATGTTTTACATTTTAATCCTGCAGAAATTGCACTAACTGCTTTAGCATTATCATTATTTGAAATATTTTCATTTGTCTTATTTTTTCTATTAAGGTACCTGATCATGAAATGACAGGTGATGGACTTGGAGATGACAATCAGAAAGATGATGATGACAGTGATTTTGACATAGATGAAACTGATCTTGAATCATATTCAACAGTACTCGAAGCTAATGAAGATATCGATGAATTTCAAATATTTTGTGAAAGTTTACAAAGTATGTAATTAATAAAAAAACAAAAAAAAAAGTAAACATATTCTTATATATTTTTAAAGAACTTCAATCGGATACAACTGGTTATAATCAAGCTTTATTACAAAATCTTACTGCTGAACAACGAACACAAATTCAAAATATAATTCATTATACAGAAAAACGAAAACAAGAAAAAGGTTTAATAAAAAAACTAGAAAAGAAAAAGAATTCATTTTTTTTTATTATATTTAATTTTAATAGAATCAAGTAAAATCCGTGAAGCTGGTGGTTATAATTTTTCTCAAGCAGCTATTGGTGGACAACCGACGAATTTCAATTTTGGTGGTTCAACGAATACGTCATTTCAAAATCCGAAATGATTTTTACATTATTCTTCATTTTTCTGTCTTTTTTCTCATAATACGAATCACTAACATTAGCATGACTATCGTGTATTTGACTATTCTTTTTCTACATACATATACACATAAAGTTCTGCTGAAAAAAAAGCTATTTCTTTTTTTTTTTCTATAACAGCGATGATGGATGAATGCAGTGCTCTTTTTTTTTTCATGTTCGTTGTATTCGTTATATGTATTTTGATTGTTATTTTTTGGAAAGAAAGGATATCATACGCTGTTTTGATAAATCTTTATTGAAACAGAGAAAGAAAAACTTATATTCAGTAGAAGGAATTATTTCGGATTAGTTTTAGTTAATATCAACCTAAGATAAAAACTAAACGATTTCAAATACAATTAGACATAAATAAATATAATCAAATGTACAACAAGTAAAAGAATTTTAATATTTATTATTTAGAAATTTTTTGTCAACAAAAGACAAATATATAACTAATAGTCTGGGACATCTTCCGACTGATGAATCGCTTTTGATTGGAGACTATGTTCATCATATACGGCGTAACAAACTATGAAAAGCCTGAAAAAAAATTCAGGTTTTTCACTTATAACTGAAGAAATACTGAATTTTATAGTGTTTAAAGTGCAAATGACTTTAATAGTGGTTCATCGTGAGATTTTTTCTTTATTAATTCAATGCTAATCACAGTATTTATGTTGCCTGTCGTTTGATTTCCTAGACTGTACACATAGACATTTGCTATTTTAGCTCTTAATGGTTTCAGGAGTGGAAAATACTTTTTCAAACACAAGATGAAAATATTGATATTGAAGCGACAGCATCATTCGTTTCTTCCTATCTTCAATAGTTCAGTCGTAACTTTAGTTAGAAATTTGAATAAAAATTGCTTATTAACTAAAGAAAAATATGATGCGATGCGTGAACTATGAATCAAAATGATCTCAAGTATGCAAAGCAAGACTTTCTATTATAATTTATCTTTATTAATTTGTATTACAAACAAAGTATTCTCAGAATAAAACCATTTTTTTTATGTACAGTTTCTGTTTTGCTTTGGAAGAAAATACCTTAGCTTTTAATTTTCTCTTGTTAGCTTCTACAAGAATAGCTTATCATGTTCTTCAATTTAAAAAACTTTAGGCGCTTCATAAGTTTTTCTTGTCAATGAAATAGAACTTCTTACAAATCTAAGATCATTTTAGAATTGAATGACAATATTTTTGTAACGTGCAAACATGCACTTCTTCGACATCAATACTTTGTAGAATATTTAAAAGCTGTTTATAACATGAAGGTCACTGAAATAGACGTCTCGATTCAAGATGATCTATTGAAAATCTTTGTGCTTATTTTGATGTGAGTCATGAAGAGAGAGTATCTTACATGGAACTCATTATAACGAAAGGTGATTATTGAATTATTTCTCTTATACATAGTGTATAAACATAGAGAATATGTTTTTTTCTTAAAGGATGTTATTTATGATAAGAATACAACTTTCTCAAGAATTTCTCTCTTTGAAGATAGATATAGTCATAATCACTTCACTAAATTAGAAAAAGCACATGCAAATTGATCGATAAAATGTTAGCAAATAATATAAATCTATTTTGGTCAAAGTCAACAATGTGATTTGTATGATTTTTGCATAGTTCTATCATCATTACAGTTTATTATTGACATAAAAATATACTAATCGAGGTCGATTTGCCTTGTTTAACTAAGAGATATTTCTTATTATACGTATATATGATCAAGCATCAAATGACAACACATTAAGAAAATGTCATACAACAACAACAACGAAACCTAATTGTCAGTAACAAAAACAAACAATTTGTCAATGACAGAAAACTATTGTATGACAACAAAACACTTTTGTAATAACATAAAAAGAAGAACGTTTTATGAGAAGAAAAAAAAAGAAAATTTAATCTTTCTTTTTGTCACATAAAATAAATATCCTTTTTTGTTTTTCATTACTAATAGTGTTTATTGTTTCATTCAATAAAGGTTCATCTATTGGATTAAAAACCCTCTTGAAACTAAACTTTAATAATTCTTCGTCAAGTACAGTTGCGTGTATTAATTGTTCCATTGAAATTGTCAGTGACAATATGATCTTTAACATCTAAAATTACAAATACGTATATGATAGAAAAGAAAGAATATATACAATAATACACTTTCATAAGTATTTGATTTAAATAATGCATTTAAATATTCGAAAGGAATTATACGATAAACATCATTAAACTTTGTTATTACAATATCGTCAATCTAAATAGAACACATATTAATATTAACTATCATCTAATTTACAGTATGTTATCATGAATTTTGGATTATTAGGTCCGTAATGTTGAATTCGAAAACCAAACATTAGAAACTCGATCGCTTCACCAGTCTCTTCCATTAATATGCCTAGTTCATATATAAGCAAAAATTTTAAACATTTAGTAAGAAAAAGAAGAGAATTAAACTTTTGGGGGGGCTAAATCATGATCCATATTGCAAGCAAAATGATGAAAACACCAACTATCAAGTTCATGTAAAATAGTAAATAATATAATTGAGGCGTATTTTATAACATTTTTCTGACGATCATTATACTTTGAACAATCGATTAACTAAATAAAATTTTCAATGAATAAAAAGGTCAACTTGATAATAGATATTACTTTGTACCTGTTTATTTAGGTATATTATTCCATTATCTATTTTCTTTTGTCTACCTTTATAACATCCGTACATAGCACATGAGAAAGCCGTATCAATGTATTTATCATCTTCAAGAACAATTGCTAGTATTGTTGTATTAGTAAATGTATCTTTCATTTGTATCATAATTGATGGAGATACAGCACTCTAGAAAAATATTGTTCAGTATTGCTTTCGAAAACTCACTGGAAACGTTTCTGTATATTCTTTGAATGGAATAAAATATGTGCTCAAGTTAACTAGAAGATGATCATTCATCAAAGTTCTCGATAAAGAACAAAAAGCAACATTTAATGTCGGACATGTATCAATTTGATTTTGTTCAAGTTCAAATGTCAAACTATATTTTTGTAAAACAAACCAACTAATAGTGTATTTATCTGATATTATAATTTCAGTATTACAAAATAATTATCTAGAAAAAATTATTCATCGTACACTTTGATCCCTTTGTCATTAATAGCAAGCATGACAATAACGTTAAAAAAGAAATCCTTCATCAGCAATGCATTTTTGTATTGTTTGTCTTAGAACGACTAATCTCAATGGGTCGAATACGATTATACAGGGTGGGTCAAAACTAACAGGACAAATAAGTTTTTCAATTTTTCTTTGTACATATTCAGTTAGATCTCATATTTTTACTATATATACTGGGTGATATAATCCAAAGATATAGAATATGATCAGTATCTAGATGCAGTAATTTGTTCAAAAGCCTATAAATACAGGACGGTCAAAAGTAAGGAAACAAGTCTGATTTCTATCAATACGTTTATTAAAGCAATTCAAGGAGAAAATGAATCACACAATAACACCTACTTATGAACTATTTTTAACAGCAAGCTTTTCATAAAACTTGCTCAATTTGTTCACCACCTAAGTCTGTCTAAAGCTGCAATCGCTTACGTACTGATTCACACGCTCGTCGACATAATTCCACTAGGAAACTTTGTCTTATACACTTTTGAACAAGTGCCTGCATCAAGATGCTGATCATATGCTGTATCTTTGAGTTATATCATCTAGTATAAGCAGTAAAAAGATGAGATCTAACTGAATATTTACAAAGAAAAAAATCGAAAAAACTTATTTATCCTGTTACTTTTCGCCCATCCTGTATCATTGGGAAATGAGAGCAAACGACATCTGAGATCGCTTGTTTATCTTCTGAAAACTGTATCAAAGATAAAAAGTAAGTATCGCTGAAATTGTCGAACAACATCACTCATCCTATTTCAAATGTCATAGAGAATTCACTATTTCTGTTTTAAAACGAAGTTATGAAAAACAAAAAAAAATTTAATAACTTTCTGCTAGTGTATACTGTTTTTTTTTTCTATACATCAAGTAAAATAATTATCATGATGTATTGTAATACCCATCTTAGAAAGCCGATTTCACAATAGAGATAGAAAATTTTCTTAACTTTTTAATAAACCTCTTGATATCCAAAGCGAGAAAAACCTATTTGGACACTTATAGTTTTCTTTTCATCAATCCTTTATCCTACATTAGAACATTTGAGTTATATCTCATTTGATAGAGAAAAAAACAGTTATCTACATGCTAATATAGTGTAGGAGTGAAAAAATAGTGATAGAACCTTGAAAACTTTGAAATATCTGAAGCTCTACAGGTTTTATACAGAACTTAGGTTTTTCCGATTTGGTAAAATGAAAACTCAAATTAGAATATATTATTGGATATATGAAGGAAAAAATGAATGGAATCATGTTCTTAATTTTCAATATTAAAGAAATCAAGCAAGTATTAATTTGCTAATTATTATTAATCACTTATAAAGGTCTTTCATTAATCTCGATTTTTCAGAAAGAAAGTTAGGTCAGTGATTTTTTTAAAAAACACAGACTTGTAGAGAATAACATTCTCTTCAAAATGATGTACTTGAATATACGACTAAGACTTCCTCTGAATATGACAATGTTCTCTTGGCTCAAGTACATGTTTTCTAGTACAGGAAGGAACGAAAATGTACAATCGGTCTATGTTACTTTAGTACTTGAAGATGTAATTGAAAAGAGAGATCCTTATAGTGACAGTGATCGTGACCAATATTTTTAGTAGAAATCTAAAACAAGATGTACATGTAAACTTTATTTATATAAGTAAAATGTACATACAAATCTTTTTTCAAAGGGTAATGTACATAGGCGAAGTTTTATAAACTATACAGAATTAAAAATAAAGCAGTGCTTATATCATTTCAATAAATATTAGTGCAAGTTTTACACTATAGATCACATTTTGTATATAGTTAAAAGATTTTTTTTTTTTTAAATTCAAAATAGTTTTCAAAATTTTAGAAGAAAGGTATTCATCTCATGTGATAAGTGTCTACATCGTAAATTGCTTTTTTTTGGAAAAATCTACAATAAGGTGTATTTCAGGAGTAGTAAATGTTCTGTACATGTTGCTTCTCTGTGTACAGTTACAATTAAAAACACTACAGGAGACTAAAAAGAAGCAACCTGTACTATATTTTCATGTTTATGCTGATCGTATCTAATGGAGTATAGCATACTAAAGACCGACAAAGATAATAGAATATCGATTAGATTCGATCGGATAAAAAGAAATCTTAACTCGGTTTGATTCGTTTCGATAGCACTTGCATTAAGATTGTACTTGCCTGAGGCAAATCAAATCATTAGACAATTCGATTTGATTTTCGTTATTGTACTACATTGAAAGCAAATTTACTTTAATTTTATCAAAATTAAAATTGATAAAAATGAAAATATAGAAAAACAAAATAATAGAGATATGGAAAGATAGAAATATTGAAATTAATTTACTTTCAGTTTCACTACACAAGACTGTCAAACAATGAACAATCTCTTCTAAAGGTGGTTAAGGATAGTATTTTTTCGTGATTCAACGTGACCAAAAATGTTCGTGACGCAGGACCCTAGATTCTTATCATCTTTAGGGACAGTAATATTTATATATTTAAGCACATCATTTTGAAAAGAATTTAATTCTTTACTAGTCTGTATCTTCAAAAAAAAAAAAATCTCCAACCTAACTGAAATTGCGTATGATGAATCACTATTATGTCAATGTTTTTTCTTTCATTTGTCGTTGTGCAAGTTGTTTGCAGCGTGGGAATAAATGCATTAAAAATTTTATAAAATCTTATTGCTGTTTGTTTTAGATAAGTCTGTTTCTAACATTTACATTATTTCCTGATGAGAGAAAAATTTTGAAAATTATCATATTTAATTAACAGAGCGAGACGAAAGAAAAGTGATAGTTTCTAAAGACTTGATTTTTTTCACTATACAGAAATTGATTAGTTATTAATTATTCAATATAATATTTTCTTATTTTATGAACAATCAGAAGTCATCGTAAAGTTTTTTTATACATTGCTTTGTCAATTTCATAAACCTATGAAACGATATAGTATTATTTAATAGATCTATATTAGGAAATTATAGATCTCCTTATTTTTTGCAAGATTGGTCGTGTCTAAATTCTAATTTACTCTTTTTCATCAGTAGCCGACATTTTCTGTGTATTTGATTAAATAAAGAATCAAGATATCAACTATCTATTAGTTATTCTCAAAAAGAAGTCAATGCAGATTTGTTTGTCATTGTTAACTCTTGCAATAGTCGATGCTCAATATATTACGGGTTTTGATTTAGTTAATAAAGATTCTTTATTATCGAACAAAATATTTTCATGCACAGTAAATAAATTATATTTATCATTGAACATTGCCAATCATATAAAACAATTATCGTTGTATACAGGAAGCTACAAATCCAACTTTTCTTTAGATCTGAATTGAACAGGAATGACATTTCTAGAGTTGAATTTCGGTCCGAGTCTGTAAGGATTCATAGCTCGTTAATTGACATAACAATTGAGAAATCAGTTTTATTTTCTATAATTCAACATCATATATTTGTTTTTATGATTTTTCTAATTTTACGTTATCATAGTAGATCTAACAATCATCATTATTGTTAGATGTGTAAGCCGATACAATAATCGATGGCAATGACAACTAGAAGCATTCGATGGTTGTTTTTTCAAAATTTTCTTAATTTCGTGATATTTTTAAATCCAAGAAAAATGATAGTAGAAAACGTAATAAGAAGAAATTAGACAGCAACATTCCTGAAATTTGATCGATGATATCGAAAATTCTCAAAAATCGAATACTTATTCTTATGTCATAGCGATAGCTGCTCAGTCGTCGATCGGTTTACTTCTCTAATTACTTCGAATTATTTTTTTTTTTCATTCAAATTGATACGATCATAATTATTCTATAGAATAGTGTCTTAATGAATATTCAAATAGCTTTTATCTTCAAAAATAAAATCCATTTTTTTCCATGAAATTTTTTTCTCGAAGGAATTTTCATAACTATATTATTCGAATATTAGTCATTCTTTGAATCGATTTGAATAATTAATGATAAATTAAACAATATTCTTATTCGAAAATATAACACTTTCTATTTTGTCTATTCTAATTATATCATGAACAGTTTCTTATAGAAATTTTTTACTTTTATAAAATGCTGTTTTTCTTTTTTTTAGTAAAAATTATCGAATGGTTGCTATTTTACTATTTGATATACCATATGACTGCTGTCATCATCAAACTACTTTGTATAATACAGATGTTGAAAAGAAAACTAATAGAAAAGATCACCTGCAGTAACAACATTATTCTTCCTACTGTGCAAACAATGACAGAACCAATGAGAAGAAAGAAATCTACTCTTTATTTTTCTTTTTATTTCTTCTATAATCAAATACATTTCATTATATTGTATCGACACAATGAAACCTAGTTTACAATAGTATATTGTTGACAGATGCTTATCAATGATGATAACTTATAGTCTACTCGAGTTAAATAACATATGTTTGTTGTTTCGTTCTATATATTGCAGACAAATCAACAATTCATTCTATAAAATAAAAAATTGTCTAGAAAATAGATGTATGTTGAGACAATTTTTTAATGAAATGAAAATATAATCAAGAATATAAAACTCAATGTTTTGTTTTGTTTCATTTTCTTCTTTTTTCTTTTCTTTCATCACATCAGATTTTTCATTTTTCATTTTTCGACAATGTCGGAAACAAGTCGTCTAGCATCACGTTGGTCATCATCAGTACCAACAAGAATAAAATCGAGTCATACAAACAACAATCAAACAATACCATTAATAATATCACGAAGAAAATTATTTCGAACAGCAAAAAATCATCAACAAACATTTTCACAAAATATGGCAAAAGTACGACAAGATACTGAAGAATTATTTCAATTATATTATTCAAATAATATTAAATTTGATACATTTCAACAACAAATTGTTACTGGTAAATTTTTATTTTTATTTAAAATCAGAAATTTTTTTTTTCTTTATACTATAGGAAAACGTATTCCATGTGTACAAACATCATCATCTATTCAAAATCATGTAACTGATAATTCACCAAATGGTTTTTATTCTAAACATTGTGTTAGTCGAGAACAAATGAGCCCATTAGAAATATGTCGTATGTCAATTATAGACTTAGTTTATTAGTTTTATTTTATATATTCTATTAAGAATATGAAAATCAAATATCTAATAATGAAATAAAACAATCACCAATAAAACGTACAGTTCAAGTTCGAATTGATAATAATCCAATGATTGTACCATCAACTCCAACAGGATCGACTCGTTCATCTTCACCAAATTGTAGAGTATCTGTTAGTTTGACTTCTAATTTAAATACATTCGTAAATTCTTCATTAATTCAACAAGATGAATTTAATGAATCATCATTAATTAAAAAAAGTTCTTTTCTTGGAGATATTTCAAATGATTCTTTTGAACATAATAATATAAAAACAAACAAATCAACCAATGATCAACGTTCAATATCAGCTAAATTACCATTAACCACTTTATCTACTGTTCCATCAGCAACTTCTTCACTAATAAATAATCGAAAAGATCCAATAAATATATCTTATTCATCATTTTCAACTATAAATTCAATACAACAACAAAATCCACCACATGTTGTTACGGGTACAGCAGTTACAGCTCATCAACGATCACCATCACGATATAAACAACGACCAAAATCAAGTATGACTATGTCAACAAATTCATTTCCGAAACAATCAAACATCAAGGCGAGGTTTGTTTGTTTTGGATATTTTTTTTTTATAAATCGATAGCAGAGACGGCCGAATGTTTTTATATGAGATAAGGCTCAATAGAAATGTATTTATTATCTTAAATTTTGTAAAATATTCAAGAATAGATCAAGTAAATAGTTTCGATGACATTTATCAACTATGACATAAATTATTAGCACTGACACTATGTTTGAAAGGAAGATCTTGTTTTTTTATCTGATCAAATATGAATTAACATTAGATCTTATTTTGAACATAAAGAATGTTATCATAGTCTTCTACCATTTTTTATACACTCATGATATCGAGTGAGTCTATAAAAAATGATCACTAGAAATTTAAATAAATAAATTTTTCTGTTAGATGACATTTAGTTATAATTTTTTTTTCGGGGAGGGGGGGGCGGGTTGATTATCAGAGTTGTATTTTCACTCAGTCAAATGAAGTCTGTAATAATATTACGAAAGAGAAGACAAATGCTTGGGTGCAGATAAATTTTGCTGTTTGAATACATAATTTTATGAATCGTCTAGTTTACAAACTAGTCCTATGTCAATGAAATCAAAGTTCCTNCAAGAACCAATTGGGACCCTGAAACCGCATTTTTCTCAATCAAGAAGAAAGATTTTACAATTCTAATTTCATATTTAGAAACAGTATTATAGACCTTTTATTTCCACATGATTACTATATTTTCAAACTTACTAGGGACTGAATAAAACCTGAAACATGAGCACCAAAGTATATAGTGCATATATATACGAAAACTTGAGATGGCTTTATCTCAACAATAAAAAGTTATTCATCGGCGAAACTTTCACAAAAACTTGCTTATATACTATGCTTTCTTCTGACAATATCATGAGTTCTAAATTTTTTATGTAAAGAATCATTTGATACTTAAGTATTCTCAATGAGTACCATCACATATATATACATATGTTGAAAAATTCACCCAAAAAAATTGTATCTTATCTTTTTAAGTCAGAAATAACTACGTTTTTGTTGTTGATGAGTACGATATGGCTGGAATCAGAATTAAGTAAGCATGGAGAAATGGCTTTCCCGCGTATAAAAGTGCTTTGACGAGAGAGATAATCAAGAATTCTCTGTATAATCGTAACTATTCGTTGATTATATTCTTAGTTTATAATAGTGAAACGAAGATCTTAACAGCAATACTAGTTAAACAGAGAGCTGCATCTTCAGTAGCTTAGTTTTGATGAAGTTGTTTAATCAATATTGACTAATTGGCCGGATACTCACCCGTGATCTATATCTATTACAGTCTTTCTCCTCCCAGGGTGCCGTGTAGTCGCTATTTGTCGAACATGCAGGACTCTGGACGGCTAGTCTTTCACCCCTTGGCCCTGAAAAGGACCGTTGTGTTTGCCTAGTGCATTACGTATTATTGTCGTCTTCTTCTTCTGATTCCGATTGCATTATTTGTTCGATTGATTTCTGTATTCTTCTTCGGCCGCTTGAACCTTCGAAGTTATGATGTCGTGCATAAGAAAGATACCATATAATCGTTGCTTCATGTGCGCAGGCACCAATAGTTCTGGCGCCAGTTTTACATTGACAATACCAGGATGTAATAGGATCTCCTATAAGAGAAAACTGAATCCAAACGTAATATCTTGTGAAATTGCTATGTCGGCTGTGAATAGCGCAACGGATAATATCGTTCGTTTCTTTCGAAACTTGTATAGCAAAATCGCCGTTGGCGTCAAGATGTTCTTCAGCATATGTCTGACATTGTTTGATTTAATATGATTAAAAAAAAAGCAGGCGTAAATCCTGTAATTCCATTTCTGGAAAATCAAAAGCCACTTCGTCAATTTTTTTTCATTTTTGTTTAGTATTTAGCTCTCCAGCCTCAACTAATTCAGCAAGATAATTGTTTTTAGTTAAACGATCTTTCATTAGTCTTGCCAGTTTATCCATATAAAGTGTATTATGATGTTTTATGATTAGTCCTCGATAGCAGTTCAACGAGGCGGAAACTATTCTTACACAATCTTGAAGTTTCGGAAGTAACTGATTTTCAATTCTTTCTGAAAAAAAGCGCCATTTTTTTAGTCGAACATGATATGACTCGACAGTCCATCGAACTTTTTTTACTAGCCGAGCTTCATTAGCTTGCTTCATCGTATGTTGTTTTTGACCTTTGGATAAATAAACAGGCATTTGCGGTTCGTAACCTAAATCAGAAAATACTTCCACAACATCTCTAAAGCCTCAATCAACTATCATCACATCGCCATAATCGCACCATTCTGCCAGTCTATTTTTCGTTTTGACTATATGACTGGTAATTGTAGCATCATTTTCAGTCCCATAAAACGGTCCTAGCGTGTCTAAACAATAGCCATCTGGCAGACGTAAGGACAGGAATTTCACTAGATGACGTTTCTTTTGCCCCGAATATGTGGATCGCTGAAATTCGTATGAACTACTTTTTCCTGTTTAAAAGTAGGTGCCGTCCCATACAACTGTCATATTTTGCCCAAAAAACTCGTTGGAAAACGATGTATTCTGATTGATTGCTTCTGAGCATGACAAATGACCTATGCCTAAGTATTTTGATACCAATTTATCGACCAAGACTTGACGAACTGAATCAAAACTTTTTGCTATCAGTTTATAGCGATTTTCGGCATTACCAGAAATATTGAATAGAGAGCCGATTTGCCTAAAAGACAAATTAGTCTTGACTTTTATCCAAAACATTGCCAGAGCATTTTTAGCTTCACGATTACAAGATGTACGAATATGTGGCGAGACTAAAGTAAACATCCCATTTCAAAATGACACGCTACCGACACATGTGTCGACACAAAATGACACAAAAATTACTCAAGTCTTAGAATAACGAAATTTTGTGTCGACACATGTGTCGGTAGCGTGTCATTTTGAAATGGGATATCTTCGAATTCTTTTTGATTCCATCCAGCCCACGACAAATAATCTTCATTCGTTAAACAAGGATCCATGAAATCTAATTGTGCTGCTGAAGATGCTTCTTGTAATAAACCTAAAAGATCATTAAATAATTGCAAAATAATAGATGGTTCCAATTTCGCTATTCGTGTTTGTCGATTTTCCATGTTTACTCTTGTGTCTGGTAATAATCGATCGTTCCATAAATGGTCTGTACATATTCGAACTCCATGAGGAGCATACATTCGTTTCAGCACTAAAAGATTCAAACTTGCTGCTTTTGGCATAACAACTGAATCAGCATGTACTTTAGATCGACAAATAATACAGACTTTATGACCTGAACCTGCAAAAATAATATTTTCAATCGTTAATGAATCTTTATCTTCATTGGCATCAACATTCATGTCTTCAACATTGTTCGTATTATTTTTTTCTATATTAATTTCAGCATATTTTTCCTGATTGCATAAATTCAACCGGCATTTATTACATAGATCACAATTTTCGTCAACATTGAATGAAAGCCCTTTTGAATCTAGTAACGAATAGCACCATGCCTGGGTTTTACTGGTTATCGTTCTTGTAGCTTACCACTTTTTACAACGAATACATTGTCTACTTGACATTTTCAGCAATTAGCTTTATTATTTCAAAATAACTTTCAATGACAAAACTTAAATGACTAGAAGAAAAAAAACAAAATTTACACCAAATTAGAAAACGATACACAATTTCAACAAATCAGAAACTAAACAAAACAAGAAAATGTAGGCGAACCTGTTATGTGCAAAAAATAGTCCTAAAGAGAACTGTTGGGTTTCACTTCGTTTATAAAACAAAGAACTTTGCTGGTTAATATTAAGCAATTAACCAGGAGAATAGACGAGCCTTTAAGAACTTTTAAGTAGAGTAATTTGAATATAGAATGAGAAAAGCGTGTACACAAACATGAAATATGAAGTAGTATAGATCTTGTGGATCTCTCCCCGACCGTCTGAGTAACAGCTAATATTCACCGTTACCATACTTGAGAAAGACGGTTTTGGCCTTCCAAAAGGGCCTCATCAGAAGGCTTTGTAAAAGATTTGATATTGATTGTCATGAAAAGATACGCTCAAATAATGGGAAAATCAAAACTTTCAATTGCATATCATAAATCCGTTGAATTTTTCCAACACGCCGACCGACTTAAGATATTGGTTTTTCTAATTGAGTGGCCTGACAGTTCTAACTCTAGATGAAATTTATTCATCAACAACAAAAACGTAGTTATTTCTGACGTAAAAAGATAAGATACAATTTTTTTGGGCGAATTTTTCAACATATGTATATATATGTGATGGTACTCATTGAGAATACTTAAGTATCAAATGATTCTTTACATAAAAAATTTAGAACTCATGATATTATCAGAAGAAAGCTCAGTATATAAGCAAGTTTTTGTGAAAGTTTCGCCGATGAATAACTTTTTATTGTTGAGATAATGTCATCTCAATTTTTTGTATATATATGCACTATATACTTTGGTGATCATGTTTTAGGTTTTATTCAGTCCCTAGTAAGTTTGAAAAGATGGTAATCATGTGGAAG